TTGCGCCATGCATTAAATGCGAATAATGCAAAGGGGCCAAAATGCATGGACCCCAATAAACGAAGGGTCCAACATGAATAGGCTATGGCCGTGCATAGGCTATGAGCCTGTGGCGGCGGCGGCGCGATGCGCGCGCGCGCGCGCTCAGGACGTGCTATGGCAAGGAGCCAATCTGGCGTGACACATGACCTTCTCAACTTCGTCTGATCTCCAATAATCTAACAGAGAATGTTTTGGAATTTGGAATTGTTCTAATGGACGTAGGTTCCTTGCTTTTATACGTCCTCCTAGATGCTAGCACACAAATCTTGCTAGGTCTAAAGTCTTACTGTAAAACCTGCAAACCGCAATTGCGTAACTGCAATTGCCAGGCTATCAAGCTAGGAGTCTACCACTGTCAGACTCGAAGTCCGACCACACAACACTATGTAAGGCTATCGAAATCAACTTCTAACGTCTTCTTCCAACAGCTTGGCAGCCCTTAAGTCGCACAACTGCTCCGCTGATGTTGTCATGCTGTTGCCGTCTCGCTCCCGCGATGTCGCCACGCTGCTGTTACACAGGCATGTGCACTGTCCAGATACTCCGTTTCTCAGTCCTGGGCCCTGTTCCGTCTGGTCTCTGCAACAGTAGCTTTAGGTTTAGCATGACTTAAAAGTCATGTACAAACAGGTAATCATGTAAGAAGTCCGGACTCATAAAGTTCCGTACTTTGGAACGCGTTTAAGAAGCGTTCCGTCTGGTTGCTGACGTCACTCCGGCCAGTCATTGGCAGTTCCGGGAGGGTCCGAAAACGCTGTCCGACTGAAGGCGGCCGTGCCAGGCTGTCTATTCCACCTAGGAAAGGTTGCAAAAAGTCAAAACCGAAATGTTTAATGCTTTGGAACGCGCCCAGGCGCCCATCCGTAGCAACACAGGTCCTGATGCGCGGCTATGTCTGGTTCGCCGCACGAAGTCCGAAGTCGGAAAACTACTGTCTAAATTAACCGAACTGAAATCAACTCGGTTCAAAGTTGCGCTCGCGCACAGGTCAGGTTTCTCGAGCAACCAAGTATAGGGCAGCACACAAGGATCGACGAGCAACTTCCTGAAATTAACCAGTCTAAGTTCCGAGCTAGGTTACTAGGTCCTATGCCCGGAAGCCTCCTGGGCTGCACAGCCTGACAGCCGAAATTAATGTGCTGCCCCATCTAAAATTATGATATTCTCGTCAAGTGAGGAGTAACTTATTGAATGCGATTTTGCTGGCTTAGTATATGCGGTTGAGTCACTAGTATTGAACTTGGCAAAGTTCAAACACTACACAATGCGCTCGAGTTGCCCTGCATGTATATATGTATCAATACTTTTGTCATTTTGCGCCGTTGCAATCGCTTTCGCGCATGTCGTCACTCAGTATACTCTTGCATACTTAGCCTTCGACCCCTGCAATTACTTGTTAGTCGAAACAGGTGTATTGAAGATATGCAGTCGAGCCGCCGGGTTTGCATTGGTAGATTGATCGGTCAGTGACTCGTTGACTCCGTCGGTGATTCCGACCATTGATAAGGCCCTACTCTCAGTCCACTGGCACACTAGTTCACAACCTTGAAACGAGCTGCATAGATGCTGTCATGCTCGCAACTCAGAAGTGGAATTGAAGTAGCTAGTAATGCCATATGCAGCTACGTCTGGTCGACTCGGTGTCACGATATCACACCCGATCGGAGCAGCTCCTTTAATTATTCAGTTACCTGTCAGTGACGGCCGCCTAGCTTGCTTGCAGATTACTCGCTTTGGTCGACTCGAAACATGTTTGGTACGTGAGTTGACTGAGACCTGGGACCTAGCAGATAACGTACCACCCGGCAGCTGCACTTAATTTATACGCACCGCCTGTGATTGCTACCATTGAGCATGCAGTTTACTTTTTCGAACGTATGCAAGGTTCATCTACAGCTTAGACTTACGTTGCGTTTCAAAATTCCATGGACGCTCATGTATCCGAGAGGCAGTAGTTTTTTTGAGGTGGGTGTTGGGCCGTATGCACTCGGTAGGATATCGCCTCGGAAGGTCGAATATACTTGCTGCAAACAGCTTTGCATACAAGTGAAAAATCGAAATAAGTACCTGTACATGCTAGCTAGTAATCCATGCGGTATCCCCCCCCAACATGGGTTGCCTTTCCAAACCCACTGGTTTGGAATCCCAATGAAGCTGATTGGCCAGGGTTCTCAGGAAGGCATGAGTGGCGTGATAAGTCATCCACTGGAATTTGATATATTATCCCGTGCGAGTACATTCCGACCATCGGAGGATTGGGGCAGATAAATGGAAAGTTTCTATTTTTTATGACGACTTTATTGGACGTTTGGATGACGTTTAACAAAATCCTACTTAGAATCCTGAAGCCATTACCCCGCAAAACCCTGCTCCTCTTCTAAGACGTACAGGGTACTTGACTGCTCTAGAAGGATCCATCAATGCCTTCTTGATTGTCAAAATTGCCAACAACTTCCTTCGCCGTACTTTCAGCTTTCGCAGGTTGTATTGGTCTTTGTTCAAACCACCCTCTGTTTGTCTTCCTTTTTTTAGAGGTGGCAGCGTTTGTATCTGCGAAGCCAGACATCGATAACCTTAACTCCTGACAACACCCGTCAAAATCCAGCGCCCAACAATGGTGCGATAACTTAAAATGTCCGCAGTGCGACTGACCCTTCAAATAAATACTTATCAAACTCCCCATCTTATCCGCGAGCAATCCAAACTGCGCGCTCGTAAATTTTCTGCGCGCTTGCCACGTGCCGCTTAGCAACTGGCGGCGTTGCAATAGGTCGGGAGCGGGCGCGGGAAGGGCTTGGCCTGCTCGTATGCATAAGCGATCTCGATAAGCTTTGCCTCCGTATACTTCAACCCGTGGAAGATGACCCCGGTTGGCGCCCCAAGGCTGGTCTTGAGCCCGGGGATTGTGATGCTCGGAAACCTGGAGAGGTGACCGGAGAAATCAAAATCAGGGCCAGTTGTCTGATGACGAAATCACAAAGGAGCAGAGTTTACTTATTGAGATTGCATGGTCGCAAGGGAGCAGAGTTTACTTATTGAGGTTGCATGGTCGAAGTACGGTTCGGACAGTTCTGGCCAGATCACGTCAGCTTTTGAAACAATCCTGGGAGAACTTTTGAAGGATCAGCTTGAGACGAAAGTGCAAGCACCGTATCGACGGTTTGATTAGAACTAGTGTGAGACGAAAATCTGATGGTGGCATGGCTGCTGAAGCCAACGAGTCATTTTGGTGGGCGGCAGTGGCATTTGCCAAACATTGCTCGAAGTTTTTAGCCACGAAAGAAGCTACCGAGAGTGCGGTTCACACGGTCCACTCAGTCCCATTGAAAGTGGCGGACTGAGCTGAAACGGGTATTTGGCTGACACAGACAGCTGGACAGCAAGTAAAAGAAAAGGGTCCGAAGATCTGAAATGGTTGTAAAGCACACAGAATCACAAAATTAAGTGGGTCGGAAATAAAGTAGGGATGTCCAAATCGTTCCAAAGTGGGGGGGTGACTTACTGGGCGGTGGCAAAGGTACCGATGAACCCCCCGGACAGAATTTCCAAGGTAAAAGAAAAGGGTCCGGAAAAATGAAAGGGTTGTAAAGCGCAAAGAATCACATAATCGAGGGGGTCGGAAAGAAACTAGGGACATCCAAATTGTTCCAAACTGGGGGGGTGACTTACTGGGCGGTGGCAAAGGTACCGGTGAACCCCCCGGTGGAGGTAATAGCGTCGTAGCCGTTGCTGTTGAAGAACGTAGTGATGGCAGCCGCGATCGCTGATGCGTTCTGGCATAAGCGGAGGAGACTAATGATAAGTGAATCTGATGAACCAGGACGACATCATACGAAGCCAGAAAAGAATGTGGGTAAGTCAATATTCGTGCTTTCAGGTCAATGCTTTGACGTACGCTCCAAGGAAAATTAGACACATTGCCTTTGAAGCGCAGCTCGGTCGTGATGATGGGGATGAAACAGTATCCGGTCCTGTTCAAAGCTCTTCTCTCAAGGCCTAGTATCCGGGATGCACGAGTTCTGCTTTCCCTTGCCATCATCAAACTACAAAACCCCTAATGTCCTCGTACATGACTTCCATGAGACAAGGTCTGCGGCTGCAAAGGCGCGGAAAGTATGCACACGTGGTCGAGTGGAAAATTGTTGGTTTCTGCGCCCTCTTGCGGGTCTTGCTCTTGGAACAGAGCGAACGACGGAGCGGTCTACTGTCGACAAGAGTACTCTGGAGGACGATGAAGTGTTCAGAAGTTGCGAGGATGAGAATTCTACCTGCTTGGAGCTAAGGTAGGGGGCCGACTCAAACCCGGTGGTGTTCTGCGCCTGTTCCCCGGTCTGCTGGGAGAATCCTTCTTCAACGGAATCCTAACACAATCCCGTAAAACAGCCCACATCTTTGAAGTGTGTCAAAGGCGAAAGTGGGTTACCTGCTTGGAGCTAAGGTAGGGGGCCGAGTCAAACCCGGTGGTGTTCTGCGCCTGTTCCCAGGTCTGCTGGAAGAAGTTGCCGTAGGCGGGCTGGCCGCGGCAGCACGTACCGCCCTGGAACTCGAGCAGATAGTTGTCCTGCGGATAAAAGAGGATTCACATGCATCAGCCGCGTGTTGAAACCGGAAATCAGACCGACTTGATTCAAAGGCATAGACTCAGGCTGCACTTGGACGGAGATTGCAAATTCAAACGGCTGTCCGAATCAGCCGCGTGTTGAAACCGGAGATCGGACCGATTTGATTCAAAGGATTAGAGGCTGCACTTGAAGGGAGATTGAAGTTTCAAACGGCTGTCCCATCAACTAGATAGGAAAGGTCGCACCTGTCAAGAAGTTACTCAAGCCGTCCGAGTCATTCAAGATGTTAAGAAGCGCCCGTTCACTTTTTGAGTTATACCAAACAGCCGTAACGGTCTCCTTCTCTTTATATATTCGGATCATGAAATGAGCATTTCGACATGAACACCGAGCGCCTTCTCTATGCTGAAGGTAAAAGGACATTAGGCAAGGTCCTTTCTGTGTTAAAACCATAAAACCCTAAAAACCCTTAGAAGCTCAGTCCTTAAAAGCTAGCAGGCATTTCACCCTCGAGTATTGAAATGTACGTACCTTGTTGAACTGAATCATATCCGCGAGAGAAGTCTGGACGGTGTAGCCAGGCCTCCACGTCAGCTCTGAAAGCGAAAACAAGATCAGGTTTAGTACGGAGGATTGTGAGACTTCGAATATGGAACGGAGTCGTGAACTAGACTCTGAACTTGTTAGAGAGGAGAAGAAACGGCTCTGTTTTGGGCAAGACGTGAAAAGAGTAATCAAATCGTTACACGTGAAAAGAGTAGTCAAACCGTTACGCTGTCCGACCTTCACATCCGCTCTGCTTGACAGGGAGATCAGAACGTTGGCAATCTGTACTCAGGAAGTATGAACCAGTGACGAAAGACCCCATAATCCGAGAGAAAGTGCACTATCAATCAGCGGATCATGTTGTCACATTGAGGAGCGCTCTTGTTTCAATATTCTCTTTTGACAGGACCCATATCGGTATCCGTTATTAATCTGAGCACAGAATGTTACGCTCCGACAGAACACTTTGAAGAATCGAGGAAACCGATCGTTTGAAGCGTATCCGCAGCACAAGTTAAAGGCGCTGAGAACGCGAACCTTGGATTGACTGAAGACCTGATTGAAAACCTGATAGCCGCTTGCTAGCGCTTTAGTTAATCTCAAACATGCACCTTCGCAACTATGAAGCTCCCATATTCTCATGTCTCAAGTTTCCAAGCGAAGAACCTAAACCTTAACCCTCCCAATATTGAAGCTTGAGGAATCTGAGGTAAAACAACAAAGTGTTTTGACTTACCGGAGAGGAACTTGTTGATGTCCACTTTGAAGTCCGTCGGAAGGATCGAGCTGGTGCTCAGTCCGGTGGTTCCGGGGATGCTGAACGGAAACGAAAGCACGTCCACGGTGGCGCCCTGAGCCCTGCGCACCAAGATAGAAAGTGAATATGTCAGCGAGGCCGGAACTTTTAAAAGGCGGAAACGGAAACGGAAACGGAATGGAAAAGGAAACGGAAGCGCGTCCACGGTGGCGCCCTGCACCCTACATGTGCACCAGAAGCAGATTTTTGAATGAGCCCAATGAAACATCCCGGAAAACGGAAACGAAACCGGAACCGGAACCGAAAGCACGTCCACGGTGGCGCCCTGAGATCTGCATGTGCACCCGGAGATGAGTTTTGTGTGAGCAGAATAACCAATACTGTTCTCAAAATTGGAAAGAGAACGGAATTGGAAAAGAGAACGGAAAGGGAATAAGGAAACAAGTCTACGGTGGCGCCCTGACCTTAATCAACCAGGGGTAAGGCCTGAGTTAGAGATTGCCCTGTCCGGGCTCGAGAAGACCGGAAGAAAGGGAACGGAAAAATAAAGGGAAACGGAAACGGAAATCGAAACGGAACCAGACGCACGTCCACGGTGGCGCCTTGAGCCCTATGCACCTGGGTCTACAAACGTAAACGAGAATGAAACAGATCGAAATGTGACCACATTTTACCCCTGAACCTTGCCAAAGCAGACGACGCACTTACGCTAAAAACTACAGGGAAAAGACTGGGATTCTAGAGATGGAAATGGAGGGCGGGAGCTAGAGCGCTGAAAATCAAACGTACCTGAGGATGTCAGGGACGGCGTTGTAGCCCGCAAGGAGAACCGGGTCTGTGGTATTGGGGTTGAGGGGGTTGAACGCAATCTTCTTGCCTGCGAATGAAAGCCGACAGCGTTCGTCATTTTGATTTGTGACGTACACGATTCATACAAATGTCTTTCGATCGAGAGAGCGCATTCACATCCTGCTACTCCCACTCGCTCCCTGCGGGAGCATCTGAGCCAGGGGCACGGGAAAGAAGGCACTGTCAACGAGTCCACGAGCGCGTTCACACCTTGCAGGCCCGTCGTCTTGAGGAACTGTGTGAAGCCGCCCGCGGGCACGATTTGTCCGTTGGTGTACGCATCGTTCGGATCGACGCCCGTGATGGTGTCCAAAAGGTACACGGCGTCCGTCAGCGTCCGGCACATGGGCCTGCACAGCGGACCGTTTATCTGAGCATCGGACGGCTGAGATCCGTCGCTTCTCTGAAGATTGAGGTTTTATATTGCTTCATGGAGAAAGAGTATTGAAACGAACAAAACCCAAAAGGCACATAGCGTCCGTCAACTTTACGGGCCTGCGAGATCAACCAGTGACTTGGGGGTCTGACATTCGAGACTTGATGCTATTCAGACACACGAGTTCTTCTGGGTCCAAAATGCGGGTTGGGACAATTAACATAGGTCATTCGAAACCTATCTCAAAAACAAACTGAGATAAGGGCATAGGCATCGAATCCGCCCGTACTAGGGGCGAACTAATACTGTCCTGCAGTACAGAGTCTTTGCTCAAGCTCTCCTTTGAGCACCAGGAACTAGCAAAGGTTAGTCTATCTTCTGGCTGCGCCGTCTTGAAGCGTGGGCGTCTCGCCTTTTACGAATTTTAAATATCAGCAGAGCTGGTAAAACGTGATCTACTTGTGCTAGGATCTACGAATCGCGAAAGAATGTAGGTTCTATCGCGTTGCCGCTCACCCGGCGGTGTCCTGGGACTCCTACAGCGGAACGACGCCGGCACGGCTGACGAGACCCACGGTGGGCTTGATCCCGACGATTCCGTTCGCTCCGCTGGGGCTCAGGATCGATCCGCTCGTCTCGGAGCCGATGGTTACCATCGCCTGCACAGCATACGGGAAACCCTCATGGTCAGATCAACGTTCGTAAATCTTATTGTTATCCGTTAACATTTTATTTGCGTTTCGGTCTCTATCCTCCGTTCCCGGGTATTTGGGATTGGCCTCTCGTCAGGTAGTTCTTACAGAGGATGACTGACAAGAATTGCCGGAAGCAGGGTTTTGTAAGACGCCCGACCACTGCTCCTCTCTGCCTCAGAAGCGGTTCTGCTCAAGCATTACTGCTAGGTACGACTCAAGAAAGCAAAGATAAGTTCGGCACTAGTACCCGGGTTCAAATCATTCGAGGATGACAACCCCGCAAGCTGTCAGAGGAAGCTTATCGGGTCTGCTGCCTGCTGCGAGGAACCTAACTAGCGATTGGAAGGAAAATAATAGTGACCGAGGTTCTCTCACCAAGCTAGTTGCGGCAACGACAGCGGAACCGGAAGAGCTCCCGGAGACGATTCCCGGGTTGGAGTAGTTGAAGTAAGTGGTGTTGACGGGAAGCGCAGAGGGAATGTCGGGGTACGGGTTGTTGATCGTGATCTGGTTTCCGATGGAGTAGCGGACGTACGGATCCTGTACGGAAGATACCAACGCTAGTTTTTACGATATGCAAATGTGAGAGTGAGAGCAAGACGGAAAATCTCATTGACTGGTTTGCTGGACGATTGAAAGACGGGTTGCCACAAAACGGATACCAAAGCGCCCAATGGACCAGGACGTGTTAAAAAATGAGACACTGCGGCTTAGCAAGTTGGGGCTGGCGAGTTGCTGAAAGATAGTGACACACAGAATGACGAGACTGGTGACGTCAGCAAGATGGGTCGCTAATGTAGTCGCCAACACGGCAAGATGCTGGGGACCGACGCGTTTCATGCCACCCATACAGGGATGAGATTTTGCCTTCAGCCTATCATGCACCTCAATGTTGACAGAATCGTGGACATCAGCGTGGCGTCACGCTTACGTAGACCTGCCCGCCCCGGCCGGACCAGCCGGAGACAGAGCTGCCGCGGTAGTTAGCCCACTCCGAGAGGCCCGCCTTGGCGAGAATGATTCCGCCCGCGTTCTTGATTCCGGTCGCGAGGTAGGCTTCCGCGTGGTGGGAGCCCACCAGATTCCAGGACCCTGAGCGGAAAGAAAGGAACCGGACTTTTGAAAAACAGTGCCCTTCTTAGAATACATACTTGCTGTCTATTTCGGCAGCGTGGTAGGAGCCCACGAGAGTCCCGGCCGGGACCTTGAGGGAATGAACAGAACCGGAATCTAAAAGCAGGCTTTCCGCGAGGGAGAAATACACTTAAAGTTCGTTCCGGCCGTCAGGTGGAATTCCACATGGCGAGAGCCACCAGAATCAACGGCTCAAACGCAAACGGACCACAGAGAACAAAGGCTTTGTGAAGATTTAAGAAGTGGCCAATCACTTTGAACGTTCCGGGCGACAGAGGTCTTTGCGCGCGGCATCCGGCGCTGCCAAGTTGCAAAAGCCGAGCGGAATGAGAGCGGAAGCTAGTGAAGGGCCAGAACGAGACAATCGATTCACCGACGATCTCGCAACTGTTGGAAGAAAGGTATTGTGACACAAACGTATGCTTGGCTGAAATAGCTTGCTCACCAGCGGTGCACTCCATTCCGTCCGCGCAGACGTTGTCCTTGAGGATGACCGGAATTCCGTGCAGCTTGTTGAGGTTGCAGTTGGGCGCGCACGCCGCGCGCTCGATGTCCTTCGCGTCAGCATCAGCCAGGGCCGTCGGATTAAGCTCCAGAACGGAGTTGGTGGCATAAGCGGTCTGCGCAGAAAACATGAGGGAATATACATCTAAAGCGAACAGAGGAAGATACTTCGGAACCGCTCACTTATCCTATTCAGGCGTCAGCTCAAGCCATCCGGGCTGAGCTATAAGATCAAAATGTGCAGGAACTCTTCTACTCGAAGAAAGGGGCCCAAAAGCAGAAAACGCGACCTTAATATTCTTCCTGAATCCCCATTTTTCTTCTCCGAACTCACGGTTTGTCATCACAAATCTTTGAGAGAGGCTCTGTTCTCTATCGGGAGTACTTCGGTATATGTAACGGTGCAGGCGCCTATGATGGAAGCCATTTTAAGACACGACGAAGGCCAGACGTCGAGAGGGCGCATATAAGCGAACTCTCGGGAAACGTTTACGATGATGGATACCCACAGAGACTATAAACTGCCCATAGAGGAAGAGTGCGTTCCATCCAAGCAGAACATGTGAAGAACGGAACCGGGGCGAAGAATCCGGGGATTGGATAGGGCGAATAAACCACTTACGAGTCCCTTGAACGTTCCGATGTTGTCGTAATCCGCGATCCGCTGCAGGTAGCAAGACACGAGCGAGCGTGACGTCAGCTGGCCGCTCTTGAACAGCGCTTGCGCGGCGTCAATCGTCAGCTCGACGACTTGCGAGCAGTCGAAGTTGGTCGGGGTCGTGGGGTACGTTCCGGTTCCGCTCGAGGCAAAGCACGTGAAGGTGGAAGAGGAAAAGCATCCGGTTCCGGTGGGGCAGCAGTACTGGGCGGAACCGTCGGCGGTGGTGCAGGTCGACGGGTAGCCGGAGGAGGTGCACGATCCGCCGGACAGAGGAATACCGATGGCGCCTGCGAAACGGAACGACGGGATTGAGGAACTCAGAAATGGTAGAATAGGACTCGTAAAACTCGAAATTTATACTCGAATGCAAAGGTGCGATATAGGAAGACCGCAGGCGATGAAGAACAGGTCCGAGTAAAAAGGGCGCACAAGGATGGTGTCAAGCGAAAGAAAAAGGTCTAACAGCCTTTGGAATGAAGAGAACTTGGGGCAATAGCTAAGCAGAGAATACTAAGACCATTCGGCTGCAAAGGTTTGTGGGCGCGGTTCTGGTGGTGTCGAAATTTTCCTTAGGGGAGGCCTCGTGTGGAGATCCGGCATGAGGGGCGGAACAAGAATTCTTACTGTCAGCGACGAGCTGTCTCAAATCTTCAGAGAGTTGCAATAGACTCGCTGTATACTGAATGAGAAGAGTAGATTTGTTCTGTCCCAATTACTCAACAGTAGTGAGTACGGCAGTTCAAATTCCAACAGCGTCAAGGACCTTCGAGCTTCAAGAAGAACGGACGGAGAGAAGGACGTCTCAGGCGGATCTCAAAAAGGTCGAAGCTGAGTCCGTTCTACTTTTAGCTGGGTTTAGAAAACTCACTGGAACCGTCGGGGGCCGGTCCGGGGGCGACAGGGCTCCCCTCAGGGGGGGATCCCTCGGGGGGGCTTGCGCCGGTGCTCGGGGCGGGGGCGGGGGGTGACCCGGCAACAAACCCGTTGCTGACCGCGGTTGACGGGTCGGAGGGGTAGCTCGCAGACGCGGGGTAGCACGTGAAGGTAGCGCTGGAGAAGCAGTTGAAGCCTGAGGGGGGTACGAAAAGGGTGTGAGCTAGAATGTGGTAAGCTATTCACTGGGGGAATGTAAGAGAACTTAAGAGGGGCAGGGATGAGCGAAAAATCTGTCGCGGGTGAGATCACGTTATGGAAAGTTGGTCCTCAAGAGAAACGGTTGATTATGAAGTGCAAGAAGAATGGTTACTGGCAGGGCAGCATGGGTAACGTTAGAGCCGTCTGTTCGGATTCACAGCATTGCAATCTCTAGGTTTCTTATCAATAGCCTTAAACTAGTTGCAGGTATTCAACGCTCAACCCACAAGATGGGCAGAGGTAAAGGATCGTCGAGGACCCTTCTAATTTCATAAATCTATGTAGCTGCGTCGCTGGCAGTAAGATGATGTGGAAACTCGATCCAAACTCATCCAGCATAAGGTTTCTGAGGTTGCGAGGTTAGTATTAACCCACCTGATGGGCAGCAGTAACCGGTAGTACCCCCAGCGGTGTAGCACGTGCTTCCCGTGGAAGGGCAGGACTGGAGCAGAACACGTCCCGCTGACACCGATGACGTCAGCGCCAGCAGCAGGAGCAGGGGAAAGGCTGCAGGAAGATAAGCGATGGTTTGGGCATAAGCTATGGCAGAAAGGGCTTGACATCGGTGGAACTTTTGTTGCTCAGATGATGACCTCAGCGCAAGCAGCAAAGAAATAAGCGGAGGGTTAAAGAAAAGGTATCACAGCCGCAGGCGTCTGTAAGTGCTGAGATTCCTGTGAGATCAGATGCGGAGAGAGGAGAATACAAACTCCTCATGTCTGAGGAAGGTCCAAAGAAAGCAGGCAACACACGCTATTGGAAGAGAACAGGTAAGGCAACAACAGGCATCAAGGCATTGCTCAAAGGGTTTGCTTTTCAGGATCTGGATCAAGGTGCAAGCACACTGCCGGTGCCATCTCAACAAGTGTGTTTTGGTACATGCCATTTGCTAGCACAGGCAATCCTGGGCTAGAGAAGGAAGACCACAGCTAAAGACATAGATCAGAGAGGATTGCCATCAGTACAACGTGACCTTAGCAGGTATTGGACAAGCAGTATCAAAGTTATTGGTGTCATTGATCTGGGGACTCAAAGGTGGGAACCGTGAGTGGATCAAAGAGCGACATTGAAGGTTTGAGGATCTGGTGTGTGTAACGCTGAAGGGTCAGACTTGTCTGCAGCGTTTCATGGACAAATGCGCACTCAGGCACTGAACTTCCTCACAGAAAGTAAGCTAAAAGCCCAGCTCACAAAGCAACTTGAAGTGAGCAAGTAGTCAGAGACGTCAGATCCAACAGTTGCATAAATAAGAAGTGATATCGGAATCTTTCTGAAGTAGAGCTGTCGGATCGTTGATGGTTAGTGAGAAGAAAATGGTGAATGTGCTGGTGAGACTCGGAACAGAATGTCACAATTCGGCTTCCCAAATCAACCTGAAGAAGCAGCTCAGAACATGGATCAGGATACCACCAGACTCCTGCAATGCTGAGGTTCTCCTCGAATCTAGCTGATCACAAGCACAACAGCTGAGCTCAAAGTTTGCAGATATAACAACGAGCTGAGACTTGAGTGGATTGACAAAGTTGCACCACCTCAACGATCCTCCCGGCGACAAACAAGCTGAAAGAACAGCCGTGGAGCGCACCCTTGCAGGAAGAGCAAAGCTGTTGATCTGAAAAGCAGCTGAAAGTGAAAAGGGATTTAAACGGCCCTCAAACAAACCTCAGGGATCCCTGTGTTTGCGCAAAGCCAGCTGAGACGTAACTGGTTCTCAATTCTCGGTCCTTGAAAAGCCATCTTTTTGCATTGCCGCCAGATGCAAAGCACTCACCTCGGAGCACCGCCATCTTGCTGACGTAATCACGCTGCAGCTTTGAGTGGTGGTGCGCCAAGGATGACGTCAGCAAGCACCGCTGGTCAGATCAGCAGGACCGCCTTTTCTCCGGGTACCCTCGCTGAGAAAGGCGCCTCTTTGGCTGGATTGTGAATCGGACCGATGAGCTTTAAAGTGGATCAAGTCGATCCAGGGAGCTGGTCAAATCGAGCAGTGAATGGGCTTGACTCTTGAGAAGGAGCTGGGAATGACGGTTCTAGCCTCGAACCGCAGGGAATGATGAGAAGCAATGAACTAGCAGAATGCTGCCACGACATTTATATCCGGCCAAGCTGAGCTCAATCTGGGCCGCATACAGGATTCGTCTCAAGACAGTCACGATCTCATAGAACCTTTGCCCGACTGGCACTGCTTTGTGAGCAGCTGCGGCGGACCGATCAATCTCAAATGATTGGGCCTTCTCGAAAGCACATGTGGCACGTGTCACGCTGTAAAACGTTCACCAGCTTGGGAGTCCAGCTAGCCAGCTAACGAGCTAACGATGTTCAGCTGAGATACTTTCTGCACTGGTCAAACCTAGACGGCGATCAAGATTGAGTAATAAAAGTACCTGGTTATGATCCGTATGCAGAGGTATATGCAGATCTGTGTGCCTAGCAGTAACTGAAGACGAGCTGTTAGGAGGTTAGGAACTAACTCCGACTAACTCACATAAGCCGCGGTAACTCTGTGCAGCCTTGACTTATATGCACCACAAACTAGACGGGCACCTACTACCGTAAGCTGCACATGACGTGCACGTGCACCCCGCAGCTGAAGGTTAAGTTGGAGACACATGTACCAGCAAGGGCATAAGAAGTGGTGTAATATAACAGCAATTTGACGCCTGCCAAAAGGCTTCCTCTAGTCTGGGGGGCGCTGCCGGGCCTTGCAGACAGCGCCCCCCCCTGCGCCGATCGTAGATGATCAGCTACGTACTGTTTGTCGAGACTCGAGCGATCCTATCGAGAGGCCTAGAAGGAAAAACGTTCCCTCGTAATCCGGGGAACCCACCAAACGCCGCTCAAGCCGGGGCCTGGGAAGCGGGAACCAATCCGGCTAGAATGTCCATGCTCCAGGATTGAACGCAAGGAATCAGTGATCTTTGTAGGTCTACTGCCCGGAGTGGACTTTTGAAGTAATATCCGGCCATGCAGTTCCATGGGTCGAAGGTTGAGACTCGAGAGCAAGCAGAGGCTGGCACGAGGTACCAGCCTAGGGACCTGGGTCACTCACAGTGTGCAACTTGTTGGTGCCCGCTGGAGGTGACAAGGTTGAGAGAATTGCATAAAAAGATGCTCTTTTGGGGCTTCATGAGCTCAGCGTGAGGTGGCACTATCTCGACGGCGTCACATGAGTACTTGCCAGCGTGACGAGTACTCACTCAACAAGTACCTACCTACCATGCTGGGGGCCAAAAACGACGCGCCCCACCGTTCAAGCGTTGGGTACCTTTTAAAATTGATACCCAGGTACCAACCCAACGTTAGTACTTGTAGTACCGTACCTTTTGCAGGTACTCGGTACCCGGGGTACCGGTATCTAGGAGGTACCTACCTCACAACACCGATAGGTAGCATGATCCGGTCTTGACATGCTTGACGTTCCTCAGGCTCTGCCAATCACAGTATAGGCTATAGCAGGCCCACATTGCCGGTACGTACTCAGGGCCGATCTCGGATCATCGCAATCATCAACAATGATTGGCACCCTGAAGAAGTACCTACTTGAAAATGTACCTCGACCTCTGGATTCAATCCAGGTCGCGACTCGCGGTTCTAGACTCTGGTTGCACAAAAGCGCAACCGGGGTCACATTTTTTATCGGGATGCTGTACCGACTCCCGAGAATGTCAAGATTGTAACGAAAACACTCGTCTGATGGCCGGTAGGATTCCCTCTGTTTGAAATACCGTAACAGGTTTCAACTTCTAAGGTAGGTATCGTCGCCCCGGTTTGCGGAAACAGCCGGGGTATGAAATGGTACAGACCGGGGCCCAAGGATGCGGTACGCACCGGCCAGCTTCAAGATAACGTCCCGAAATTTGCTGCTGGATGCGGCGGCGTTTAATTGCGTGGTGATGAAGTTTCGTCACCAATTTTGTTGGTACATATTGCTCATGAAGTCTGGTCCAATCAGAAGCCCTGCCTGACCACAGGGCTCACGTGGCGCAATATGGGCTGCCTTTTCCAAGCAATATGCGGCGACCGAAAAATAATTGCCAAGATCCGCTTTGCCATGACTCACCGACCGTCACTGTCGGCGTCGGCCCATGCTAGCTAGCTTGGCAGGCTTTGTCACGAGGGGGCGCGGCCGCCCGGACGGCGGGCCCAGTGACGCAAGTAGGACAAAGTACACTAATATATTAGTGTCTCCGGAAATTCTTCTGTGTTAACACCCTCCTGTGCCGCGACCATAAATGAACAGATCTATGATGCTGGCCGGTAGGTACCACACCTGCACAGCGGTCATCCAGGCACTTGTTATCGCCGGCCGGGTAGCTGGACGACAGCCGAACCTTCCTGTGTCAATCAGGTTTGAATCTTTTTGAGCTACCTAATACGGTTATCCGGTGACTGTGACTGTAACTTTGGTTTTTATAATTGACACTGTGACTGTGGTTGAGACTTGTAACTCCGACTGTGACTGAGACTGAGACAGTATTAAACCTAGATTGTAATCGTCAACAGTGGCGTTTTTTACCTGCCGGAAACCAATTGTGACTCATACTGTGACTCTTGACACTGGACACTGCCTAGGTACCTAGACTGTGACTGTAAGTGTGACTGTGACTGAAAAGGCAGTGACTGTGCAATTTGCAGTGTCACCGGGAAAACTGAGAGTTCCCCGGGAAGTAGCTCGGTACCATGCCGGTACCCGGTCAAAGAGGACCGGAGTCCCGCATCCAAGCAAACAGACCATGTGTCAGACCATTAACCAATGCCTGCACAGATTGACGCCCTGTGCGAGTATTTACTAGTATTTACTGACAGATCGACCGGAGACACTAATATAATAGTGTAGATTGTCCCTTTTGCCCCAGGGACTGCGCGGCGGTCGCCCCCGACGGTCGCCCAGCCGGGCCGGTCCGCGCGCCGGCGCAAGGGCTAGCTCGACATGGCATGCACTGAGCCGCTTCGAGTCTCGACTCATCGACCGCGAGTTCATGAGTTTGTCATGCCGTATTACCACGTATCATTGCACCGAGATTGGCGAGAGCCGGCCCCCGTCTGCCTTGTTTTTTGGCGGGCCGGGACGTCCGCTCATTCATGTGGCGTTTCTATCACCCGTTATAGCTAGAGTGTACGAATGCACGAACGCCATTGACAGTCGAATGCACCGGTTCTAACCGATTGGATCTCTCCAACATATTATGTTCAACTTATCTAGTCATCGCCATCGCCGTCGGCGGCCTGGACCTCATGATGTCATGAGACCCGGCTCGGTAGTGCGTCAGGGGCGGCCGCGCCAGAGCCAGAAAGAGATCTCAGACGGTCAAACATATCACTGACCGTCCGACAGCAAATATTCGTCCATGTCTCACCTCTCATGAAGACAATCGAGTGCATGCACGACTCCCCACAACTAAGTTGCCAGATTGAAGTCCGCAAACTTGAAAGGATGATTTACCGGCAAGGGCAGCGATGATCGCCGGACTCATAGGAAGTATATCCCGGATTCCGCTTGTCGTCCTTACGTATGGTATATGCAACTCAGTACCGTGAGTCCGGTCGTTCTCAAGGTACGTCAACCCGTCCATTCTGATTGCCTGAAAGGATTCAACTCCGGATCGAATCCCTTTAACAAGGATTATCAAGTCTACCATGTGCCACTGAGCACAATTTAGGTGCTACACGGCGCTTGAGCTCTGGGGCAGCCAATGCTCCTTTATGCATAATATTGACAAAACAACGCAAAATTCTCAGTGTCTTTCCAGCAAATTTGACCCTCTACGAATTTAGCAAGTGCTACATTATGCAGTTGATCCTATAACATCGGACGCTTTTCAATACACGGCTTGGGCGCAGGGATACAAAATGACGACGCATTTGAACACAAGACGTACTGGACCAGCCATAATAACGCAGAATGTCCAGCTAGTGGCGTTGTCGTCGCAAGATTGTCGAAGCTCCGGTGCTACAATCACTAGGCACCTTCATCATTGAGGTAGTGACCAGTTCAAATACTGGTACGCCAGGGATGCAACGAGGTTGCACTTATCATGTACAATGGCACCCATTTATCGTACAGGTAGGTGTTACCAGTAGTATGGCACCCGCAGCCTGCCATCCGCAACCGCTTGAGGTGGAAGCCGCCTCATACAACTCGCGATGGCAGCCCCGTGGCAGCCGTCCCGTAGTTTATTGGGACACGTGAAGGTCGATCTGGCAGCATGGCGTCGCACGACTCCCACTTCGTCCCCACGACTCTCATAGCACGTCACCCTTCTCTTTCAGAGCCCTGCACAAGGACACCACTTGGTCAACGTTGGCTATCTTCACAACCTTGTCTCTGAAGGGGAATGCTTCTGAAAATTCGCACTCGTCACCTGTATCCGGAGGTCTGCGCAAACACGAAATGAAAGCATCAAGCCTAACAGAATGCAGTCCCTGAGGTAGTGACGAGGAGCAACTGCAGACGTTCCAACTCCAGTAGAATATCGCCGTAGCCACACGTAGTTACATCTGAGCTACTTGCCAACGAATCGCAGCTTTTTTTGCACTCAGGCTTAGGCTTGTACCTGAAAAGTCTCCAGAGGAGATGAGCATGGGGTGAGGAAGGCAGAAAAGAAAGGAAGATGAAGGAGGCAAACAGTCCCTGAAACAGGGGCCGAAGGTCGCCGTCGCTGTTTTGAAACACTCGAAGGGATCCATACACAGAAGTCCGACCTGCCACATCGGATCATCTGATCTTGTTAATTCAACGCTTAGAGCCCGCGACCGAAGCAGGTAGAGCAATAGCTTCAGTTCGCAGCGGACTGAAAACAAGAGACACAATTTGTTGACTCTACTAAGACTTACACATTGTCGTATCCATTTCAGTCCAGGGCCCCTCAAGGGAGTACGCTTCTATTCTGCCGCTTCTTCGGCTGTTGCAAATCACGTCGACACCCCAAGAAAGCGGCGTCTGAAACGAGTACACGACGCATTCTGCCACTTCTTCGGTTCTTGCAACTCACGTCGAACAGCCTTACAAACGCGGCTCTCCAAAAGAATGCACCAAGTATTCGGCCACGTCTTCGGATCTTGCACCTCATGTCGAAAATCCTCAGAACGCGGATTGCAAAAGGAGTACCCGGCGCATTCTGCCAATTTTTCTGCTGTTGCAAATCACGTCAGAGAATCTCAAATTTGAGCTACCGGAAGGGATCGAACAGGGCTGGGCAGAACCGATCCGCGCACCAGAATGTCAACGATGACAGCAGGCCTCTCGGCTCCATAAGAACAACTCGAGCTCAGAAAATGGCGAAGAATGACACAAATCTGCTCGAAAATACAAATTTGCAAAAATGATTTGTGGGATCCTTGCGGTGTTTTTTCGTCGCCCTCTCCAAGTGCGCGTCTTCTTAGGTCCATTCACACTAATGTTCACCTAACACAATGAGTAGACCAACAAAAGGGGGACCGGAACTGGGAAAGCAAATCATGGTGCTTCGATGCGCCGGCGCTCAAGGCTGCCCGAATGACGGGGACGAACGATTGGTGCATGGAAAGACTCAAAATCCGCAGTCATTTGCACAAATGTACGAAACGTTGGGTGAAAATAAAGTTACTCACTTCCGAACGCACATTCTGAAGTCCTTGCCACGCCTCGCATCGACCTCCCCCTCCTCCAACTGCAGACCGGAAAAGAAAGCGTAAGCTGCTGCTCAGAAGGATTAGAGTTGAATACTTACGGACCCCGGTCGGCTTTGCATATGCACGGCTCTCAGAAAACGGCCTGGCTCTTTAGCCCTCCGTCCAGCGGTCAGAGGAGGAGTACGAGTTGAAAAACAAACCAGATTACGTTCCGAAGAAAACAGACAAACGAAACAGTGACGCCTGGAACTCAGCGTCGAAACTTAGAAGCATCGTTCTAAACTTGTACTTACTATGTGTCCACCGATGAGAGGGCACCATATAACCCCGAAGAGATCCAACGTAAGCAGCAAAAGCAACAGGATCTTGTCTAGCACCATGACTGCAGTGGGGAAAGATTTCTCGTGCATATTACTGTCTGCAGTATATTCTTCTCTACATAGTCTGTTTTTAAATGAGCATAATGCTCTCTTCTTCCTTCTCTTTCTGCTTTTCTCAAAGAATCGCCAACAGATTGCAGCCCTGAATGTCTGGTGCCTTGTCTCTTGAGTCTCCTTCGGGGATCCGAAAGTTCGAAAGCTTTGAGAGTCATGGGTAAAGGACCACGTCACAAACTCACCGAGTCCAACCCGTAAACCTGTTCATAACACTCCGGGTTCATGCACCGGAGTATGCAGTTCTCCTTGTTGATACTGCTCGTCATGCAGGGGCCCCCGGTTCTGAGAATACGATGAGCAAAGCGTCAGAAAAGACCATTTCCAGAAGGGAAAGCGAAACTGAGAACGAAAGATCGAAACAACAGAAGGGGCGTCAGGAAAAGGGCGCCTGCCAAGCCATCCAACAGTACCACACCACTTAGAGGGTGTCTATGGCTGGTGGAAGTTAACAGAGTATCGACCCGCTGATGCACAGAAAAGCGGGCATAATGGCTTTCTTTCTTTGCCCCTTCTTGGATCACAGCATGAGGTGCACTGATCTACAAGAAACTGCGTTGTCGGCATCCCTGTCATGCTGCGCAGCCAGTCAATGTGTCTTGAATCCCCGTCACGACCGTACTGCCACTTTGAATTCGCATAGTAAATCAATTGTTTTACCCCAGGTCGAAAATTTCCGGAAATTATTTGCTGCCTGGTCGAAAAGTTGAGATGAAAAAACAAGGATTTTTGGACCAAAAAACGTTTTTAGCAGGCATGATCTGGCCGTTGCGAAAACGAAAAAACTTTCAAAATACTTATTCGTGGACTTGGGGGGCGACTTTGAATGGCAGTACGGGTATATCAAGACCTTCCAGAAGTGTCACTCCCCTTGCCTCTTTCGTCTATCCTCATTTCCAAACAGGGCAATCATTGGAATCAAAGGTCCTTTAACGAGGCATGGCTAACCTAACAAAAGGTGGAATCAGACAGCTTTTGGCAGTCCAGTCCGAGATCCGTAAGATCGGTTTACCCAGCAATAAATACATGAAAGTGAATCCTTGTATTACTATGGAATCCACCAGGACGACTTCCAGCGTCCAACAGGACCATAACTTGACAGTAAAAGAATTCTGCTGATAAGACAAAAAAGACAGTCCTCAGACTGTCAGTCAAAGTCTGGTTCTTGGATGCGACCTTCCTAAGTCATGGTTCCGTGGTTCTGCCAAGAGGGACAGGTCATTGATTCCCATGTGATCTGCAGTTACCCTCAGACATGACTGAAACTCTGTGCATCCATTGCGATCTGCTACATTTTCACTCAGGAGGCTGTATCTCGAGCTGCGAGTCATGAGTACAATTTCTTGAGGTCTTTGCCCAGTACTTTTGCAGCCCAAGTCGACTTAGTCAACATGTCAACCTACCCTTACATTCTCAAGGCATGTTTGCTCTGCTGCTCACCTCTGGATTGAAAGCTCGCAATCATCTCGTAACAGCCGGACTCCTTTTTCCTACGCACAAAGGCCACCCCGTTTAGATTAGCACACTTACCCAGGGCGATCAGCTAAAGCCCGAGCTTGGAAGGGGTCTTGCATTTGCCATTACTAAAGCTAACCCCCAGGATTTAAATATACAGAGTCCATCATTCACCAATGTCAAACAGAGTGAACCTCGGCACAAGCAACTGAGCGTGGTCAAAGGCAAACATAGCAGGATTGGCTTAGCAAAATTGACTGACAGTAGAATCTTTGGTCTCATGCAGCTTCATAAGCCTGTCAAAGGGGGTGGAAAGTCCATGTAAGGGCTTGGCGGCTTTTTATGTAACATGTATCATCCAGTCCGGAGGTTGAGCAGATTCACCACCACAGAAAGTCTGGCAACAGAGTCGCGTTCTTGAAGTGAAGCAGCGATTGCATCGGAACAAGCAGTCCTGAGTGCCAAGAAAGTACCTTTGATCTGGAATGAAAAGCCCACCACCCAGAGAGATGGATCTTACGAGCACCTTCCAAGACACTCCCAAGACCTCCTTTTACAATCTTGACATTCTTGAGTTCGTATCTCAGCATTCTGCAAGTCTCTGCAAGTGCAGTTCTATACTGGAAAATTTTTGATGCTTCTGGAACGGTCAGAATGCCATACGCCTTTCTCCGTTTGCGGGCAAATTTTATGAGAGTCAGCAGATACTCAGGTTTGAAGCCATGTAAGAATGTAGGCCCCTCTTGTGCCAAACTCCACCATTTTCATCTTGATGCTGGATTGTGCCCCTGTTCTGTGGGATGCAGAACTGAAATGAATAAAATCTCTTACCATGTATGTACCCTTGTAGCTCTTTTTCTTCGCATCCACACTGCTGATGTCGCTCAGGAGCAACAAGAGAACGAGTACCACTGTTTGTGAAACGAGAGCCCGACCATGGCAGGACTTACAAGCCATGTCGCACAATTAGGAAGCTTGACCTTGCGAAATACTTGAAAGAACACCGGCCGGTGAAGAACTAACAATCGATAGGGGCCCCCAGATGTCTTTTCCCTGTGCTCCTGAGGTGCTCGGTTGATGTCAGCATTCCAAACAAAGCCTCCAGGAAATGGTGGCAGCAAAGAAAGGAAGGCCGATCAGTGCTTGCCGTTCAAGCGCCATGTCAAATTGTAAGACTTGAAGTTGCTGCCGCTCATCAAACTCAATAATTTCATGTGCGCGCTCAAGTCTTTTGAGGGCGCGTCTGTAGCCGCCTGCTGCTCAGGCGGTTACGTAATACGTGGTGCCCTTTTTTGGCGCTTCGCATTTTCCTTCTTGACACGAAACATCTATAAACCAACTTTTGGCAGAATATGGAAACAAACCGGTCCGGGTTATATACCCTTGAGCAGAGTTTAATCGTTGCGGAGCGGGTTAAATCTCCCGAGGAAGTTGACCAGAGTCTTCGTTGCAAACATTGTGTCAATAAAGCAAAAAGTATTGCGCTGTCCCGACTCATGACGTGCACATGACGTCGGATGAAAGCGAATCGAACCGTACAAACCAAGCCAGATCTTATCTAACGGTAAAGAACTGGTTTTTTCTTGAGGTATCTTTCTGGGAGTCTGACGCTGACTCCATTTTGACTTGGTCTTTGTTCACTGCTCAAGGCTCAAGCTTTGCTCAATGCCTTTGAATCAATTTCTTTTCTCTATCTCTCCCTGCCATTCCAGAGCCATTTCAGAGCCGTGCCGCCAGCAGCTTTGGTCTGGTGCAGACAGGGAGCAGTCGTCTACTTTGGCGTTCCTCCCTGAGACCTGGCTGCTGATCTCATGCGCTTGTGCTAGTTTGTCTTCAACACCGACTCCGGCATTTGAAGGCGGGTTTGTTCAGAACTTGGGCTGCTCGGTCAGCGTTCCTTCTCGCAACCCGAGCTACCAGGGCTTTTCAGCAGGAATTGCTACCACTTTAATTGGACGCTGCCGCGCTAGAGTACCGTGTTCCCGGCGCTTGGGATGGATCGTTATCAGAGAGTGGAGAAGCCACGGGTAGAGGAACCGATTAAGGAGAATGAGATCAGGATCACCACGCAGGGGAAGCTTCGCAACTACATCACGTACAGTTTGACCATGCTCCAGGTGAGCCCTTTGTTTCCGCAATGCCAACAGTTTTATTTTATTGGTTGACTGTAGCCTTAGGGAGGAGCCTGCAGTTTTCATTGGTCTACAAGTTCGGAGGTCGGCACTAGTCCTGGCGAGTTTGTCGGGGCTATTATGTGCTGCTTGGTGCAATGTATTATATGATCACTATTCTTTTATGTGGCACCACTCTCTCTTCAATGGCACTTGCCGAAAGACCATCAGACAGTGTTTGGCCCTGAACATCGTAGAAACTTGTTCTACGTCGATGAAATGGTGTCCGTTCCAAAGCTGAAGAATGCTGATACATTGAATGTGCCTTGATCCCGGATATTGATAAGCACGGCTCAAGACACGTGTCCAAATACATACACTCTGATGCAATCATGTTCCGCTATGATCCTACTTCTGTTGACAGCATGTTCAGAGAGCTCCATTGCATTGACATGCTCGGTAATGGAAACAGACAGCACGCTTCCTTGAGCTTCTGCGCTCTTGAAGATTTTTATAGGATTCGCTGTTGCAGAAGTGCAATCTCATTTCTCTTATAGTGTTCCGTGATCCAGTGAGTGTGTTTGTTCAGGGTGGGCCTGCCTTCAGCAAGAGTCTGCTAGATCTCTGCTGAAGGTTGCTGAGGCCTTCGTGTCCTGAAAAATATGTTGTGTTGCGGCGTCGCATTGTTTGCTGCGTAGTCAATGCTACCCCAAGACTCATTCCAGACCCTGGAGATGCTTGGGGCCACGGAAACATTGCTGCTGAAACTTGAGAATCTGTAGCACGGATGGTAAGGTGTTTTGCAAGTGATCCTGTCGTCCAAGCCGCAGGTGACGTTGTTCATAACGATTGAGGACTGTGACAGACGGCAGTTGCTGCTCATCAGACTCGCTTGAGCTCTGTGCACCACTCTTGGCGCGACGAGTTCTTTGGAAGCTGATGTCGAAACCACCTTCAGATCTGGACAAAAATATAATGTTGCCAGTTTTTTATTTACCTGTAAGATGCTGCTCTTTAATCTTCCCGCTGGTGTGGACAAGCCCGGTTGCAAGTTCTAGCGTCTCAAAATGTCTACAAGTCACCCTTTCTGCCAACCTCTCTGCGATACATTCTCTGGAGGCTTGATTTCTCAACGTATGAAGCTTGTGCTTCTGCCTCACGGTGCTTCCGTTGTCCTTGTGGATGCTCTCCTCTTCGCTGTGCTGACGGTCTCGGAGTCTGACCCGCACTCTGAAGAGTCGAGAACAAACATTGAAGATGGCCATGTGCAGCAATGATTAGGCTTTTGGAATGGAATCTGATCCGGTGTGCACTGCTTGCAGGAGAAAGGAGCCAGCGAGATCGTCCTTAAGGCCATGGGCCGTGCCATCAACAAGACCGTGACAATTGCTGAGATCTTGAAGGTAGGCAGCAAATTTTCCAGACTCCGGTGAATGCCCTCCTGCTCTGTCAAGAAAGATGGTCCGATGTGGTGAAGTTGCTCACTTACACGGAGGGCTTCTGCAACGAGGTTCTTGCATGGTTCAGGACACTGTTGGTGACGTGTCTTGAGATGGAGGCTGTGTAATGGACGGTTTGTTCAATGGTCTAGCGGGTCGTTTTGCTGATGCGTCAAGCTGAAGGTAACAGCTTACCCGAGAATGATCTGGCTTCCGGATTGACTGTGCTCAGAAAGGCAAGGCCGAGGGCCAATCTGAAGTTGAAATCTTGAGTGATGCTCTTTGACAGTTTTGATCGAGTGTCGCTGTAACGTCGGTTGTAAATTGCCTTTTTTGAACAAACACAGCAGCATAACTTCCACGCCATTATGCCTGGCATGCTACCGTGCCCCCCAAACTTTGAGCGAACTTTCCGTGTAGCTAGTTTTCCAGCGCATCCGCACTCTGACCACGATTTGAAGTATCTTACAAGGGATGCATCTAGAACGACGAAATGTTTGGTTGATCTCCTTTTTGCTATTCCTATCCATAGAGTCTTTTGGTGTCAGGTTTTTGGTGAAGTGCGGCTCAGGGCACAGTTGGTCGGTTGGATACGAGCATGTTTTCCGTATGCCCTTCCACTGAATTGGAGTATTCCTCCCCCCTTACAACATCATCGTTCATTGCATCAATTGCAGAGGCGTATCGTTGGTCTGCACCAAAACACCGCCATCGGCTCCACCGACATCACAGACACGTGGCAGCCGTTGGAGGAGGGCTTGCAGCCGTGAGTTTGTCTGCTCAATGACTTTTCCTACAGCTTCTTAGCCATGGTTATATCCTGTTTACTGATCCAAATAATCGAAACTCGATTGCTGCCCTCACTCTTCAAATTTGAAAATGTCACTACTCAGACACCTCAATCGGGAATGAACATGGAAAACGATGTTATGTTTTCGATTGACCCAATTCTGCTTTAAGTCGTATTAAGTCATTCGAGGATGTTACGCTGTTGCTCTCAAGCAAGCTCAGTGGTCATATGCTGTCAATTTCTGTCCGACGCATAATATTCCGTGACCTGCTGTTCTGGACGATCTGAATCTAAGAAGTTGGCCCCTTGCACAAATGGCGCGCGTCCATGATTCTACTCCCAGGACAACCACCGTCCAGACACCGATTCAAGAAGCGAAGGCGCACTGCCTCTTTCCTACTGCCTTGTCCTGCTCCGTCGCTCAAGCCCTGCGGATTCCAAATTGGACAAAACCAATTGAAACCACTTGCCGTCTGGATCGAAAAGCTCCTAAAGAGTCAGACGTCATGGCGTCAGGCTGACGTCAGCGAGTCCGGAAGAAACAGATCTGATCACTGTGCGCACACATGGCCTGCAGGATCGAGACGACCCGCCACGTTTCGATGATCACCATCACGCTGTCGACCAAGGAGCTGGATACGACGACCACAGGGTGAGGTCGCAGCTGTAATCCGATTTTTCCTACAAAAGACCGCATTCCTTTTTGTTTTTCCGTCCTAGAATCCACTCCTCCGAAGCGGCTCATGTTTTTGGCGGAAACGCGGATCGTGCTGCTCACCCCCGAGTGTCTTTCCTATCGAAACAGGGTGCCTCATCCGCCCCAGTGGTTTTAAACTTTCCTTCAAAGCTGCTCTTTCAAAATGGCTCATCATCTCTTCCCTCCATTTTTTCTCAAGACTCTAACTCCGAACCGCTTACCGCTTCGCTGTTGCGAAGAAAGTCATCTCTCAGTCGGCAAGCGAGGAGCGTAGGTTTAGTTATGGGCCATTCCTCGAAGCACTTTGTGCGGTTCGTGGAGAATTGGAACAAGTTCGTTCATTTCACTTGTCGAAAGTTCAAGCTCTTTCAACTCTGAGCTGCCATTATGCCCAGGCTTTAGCCGCTTGGTTCCGACGATAGAGACTCTCTGACTGGAGAAAGAAGGGCTTATGTTTGCAGCGTCGAAGGGCCGTTATGAACTAAAGTCTTTCGGTAATCTCATCGGACGGATCCTCCTCTTTTACGTTTTAATAACAGCTATTTCGGAATGCAAACACGTGGAAATTACATAAAGAAATCCCTCAACAGACACAATCTTCAATTTGGCGGTCCATTCTGCCTCCATCCATCAGCACCTGTGGCGCTTCACAAGGGTTTCGGAACCCTTTCAAAACGTATCCTTTCCTTCTAATATCCGTTCCTTAGCATGTTGGAAGGGTTGAAGTTGACTGTTACCCACCTTCCCGGTTGCAGGTACCAGGCACCGCTTCCAGCCGACCAAGTGAAGCCCTGGAACGAAGCCGACATGAACTCAGGTACGATGGATTCTTGTCAGCGATCTGCACATTCCTCTCTCGTCCGAGCGTCAGCACGGTGTGAACGAGTGGTATTCATATAGCCCCTCGATATTGCTTGCCGAGCCCTGTGAAGCGTTTCGGTTGCCATCTATATTATGCAGTAGACGCACTTCCGTACCTCTAGATCCATACGTCTTGCCTTGAGATTGACCGTCGTCAGTCAGTGGCCTTTATCGCTTCACGTGCTGAATCTGGAAGACCTGAAGGTGCTCCCTCTGCCATTTTCTGACGCTCCTGCTAACGAGTTGACGTCGTTTCTTTCAGACGACGAGGGCAAGCCACGTGGCAGAGGACGTGGGCGCGGAAGGGGCCGGGGAGGCAGGGGAGGTGAGCTGCTTCCGCTTTTAGGACCGCCTTTTTTCCAGTGGATAAAAGTTCCAAGCTCCTCACGTCAGCGACCGTTCTTTGAATAAATCTTCCGTTTCTGGGACGAACTGACTAGACGGTTCTGTATCTGCGACGAACTGACGTGATTTTCGAAAGGAAGGCATCACTAATGATTTTGAGCACTGTTTTGCAGCGAGTTTGACGGCGTCCGTTAGCTTGTGAAGTTCTTTGCTTTGTTTGAAGGTGACTCAAATCACTATCATACCGTTTCGTGTACCTCAAGTCTTCGCATCTTTCTGCGCTTCTTTTGACTTCTCTGCAAAGGCGAAGTTCAGGCTGAGGGCCTCCGGCTTTCTCCAAATTTTGCTTTCTTCGTGTACTTTTTCTCTTCGAAGTTCCCTATATACTAGATATGTTGTTTGCTCTCACTACTGCGCCTTCTTCCTCCTTAGACAACATTCAACAAATTACCCGTTGCCTTGGCAATATGCTGCCGGAGACACGGTCTTTCTCTAACCATTTGTTTTCTTTGGCAATCTGCTTTTAGCTCGTTCCTTCTTGGTTTGATTCATTCTTTACGCGTGTGGTTGATGTTTTTACTGATCCCGGCGCTGGCAGCGGCGGCGAAGGTTGTGCCGAGATCCCAACTTCGGTCAAAGCCGTCCCCTCCATTTGGTTGTTTCCAAACTTCCTCTCCGTTTGAAGGGGAGTCGTTTCCTCGACCACTTGTCGCTACGCCGGCAACGAGACTCAGGTCCAGTATTATTCCCTCCTTTCAACATCTTGTCCTCCGCTCTGCAGGCAACGGCGGCGGCGAAAACCAAGCCGAGAGTCACGTGCAAGACTGCGGTCCCCCTTTTACGAACTGTTTCAACATTCCGTCCACCGCTCTGCAGAATATGGCGGCGGCAAATACCAGGTATTTGCAAGACTGCCATCTCCCCTTCACAAACTGGTTCAACATCTCGTCCACCGCTCTGCAGGTAATGGTGGCGGCGAAAACCAGGCCGAGGGTTACGTCCAAGACGGCGAGGAGGGCGCAACGCGCGGGCGTGGCCGGGGGCGCGGTCGGGGACGGGGTCGCGGCCGGGGGGGCGGCCGCGGACGGGGTTTCGACGGCTACGGGGGTCAGCCTCAGTACATGGACCCACAGAACGGAGGGGGGGTTTACATGATGCCGCAGGGAGGGTATGGAGGCGAGGGCATGTATAACCAAGAAGGAGGCTACCGCGGGAGGGGCAGGGGTAAGGAGTTCGCATGCGTTCCTTGGATTTTCAGAGCCAGTCATTGCTGATCTGTGGTTCGTTCTGGAAGACGTGGTTTCTGAAATGCATTTCGCACGTCTTGCTGTCGTGTTAGTACAGTGCTGCTAAAATAATATGGAACCTTTCATGTGGTCCTTGCTAACTTGGAAGCTCGTGTTTTTCGCATTCGCACTCTTACCTTCCATGTTATCACCTTCAAGGGACGTGCATAGCTTTGGATCGTTGCCATGCTGACTTTTCCTGCGTCAAAGATGGGCGGACGAGTGACTAGGAAAATCGTGGAACTCTACGCTCTGCTCGGTAATCATTGTCTGGTTGAAAGTAAGCTGTCCTCAGTTATCCGTCGCTCCTCTCATCGGTTTGTTGAAGCTTCCCGTGGAAGGAGTCCACATGAGGCATGCTTGCAGATTCTGTTGTTGAAGACTTCAGTGCCTGCCGGACGACTATTGTTCCTCCAAATAGAAAGGACACAGTTCTGTGGCCCGCCGCCGTGTTTGCGTCTACTAGAAGGCTGCACAACAAGAGCGGTATCGTAAAAAAGAAGCTACTGCTTACTTCAGTTGCAGGAAGTGGGGTTCAGTGCTGCTTTGATCTGCCCTTCGACAAAACTAGAACCCTATCGCTTTTGGAACCGTTTTTCGCCGCAATAAGACTTTTGATGCTCACAGGTTTTGGCAGAGGTAGAGGCAGAGGCCGCGGGGCGGGCTTTGACCAAGGCGCCGAGGGTGCTCTCAGGAGAGGTAAAAGGATGGCTTCTGCTAATCCTTCTTTCAGAGATCGCCTAAGCGGAGGGCCTGTCACTGGGACAGGGATTTTGAAACGGCTATTTGGTTGCTGATTGGAGTCTTTCACTGGATCAGTAACGTTTCCTTCCATCGAGTCTCCTTCCGCTTAGCTGTTAGAGAAATCTCGGCGGTATTGGCGAGTATATGCAAGCCCAACCAGAAGCAAAGACCGTGGATCCGCATGTTGAGCGTCGCTTCCATATCAAGTGTTTTGCGATGGGTCAGCCTAGGATCGTCTGACGACGTGATGGCGGACTTTTTCTTCTCGCCACGTGTGCCGTTGGGCTGAGGATCGTCTTCGGACGTGACGGCTGATAACGCCAAGGGCTCTTTCCAGCGACTGCAAGCTTTGTATCCTCCCTCTTGTGTCAAAACCCACCCAGTGGTTCTAAACAGAAGGCCTTGAACTGTCGTGCCCAAGCGGACTACTCTCGTTCAAATTGCTGACCACAATAGGTATCCGCCGTACCTCGTTGCTATGGCTCACGACTCTTTCTTCCAGGTCGAGGCAGAGGTGGATATGGCGGGCGTGGACGCGGTGGAGGCGGTGGAGGCGGTGGCGCTTACGGTGTCCTCCCTGTCCCTCAGCAAGCTGGATACGGGATGCCAATGCAGTAGAGGTTGCTTGCAATGACGTCAATGAAGACCCACAAGCACAAATCCATGCAAGGTTGGTGTAGCTAGGCGGGGCACTCCATACGTTTGTTGTGCACTCACGCGCGAGATCAGCAGCCACCATGTCGATCAAGGGAGTCGTGTGTAGTCGTAGATTGGGCGAACGTGGTGACGGTAATGAGCCAGTGGTCAGAGCGTATCTTATGTAGAAGCTAGTCTAGTCTGGACAGACGTGGAGCACACGTGTTTCAGAAGGCCGCTGCCGCGGAACCTGTCGAACCATTCAAAATTAAGGAAACTGGCGCAAGTGATTTGACTTTGTAGTCGTCATCCCTGTACGTTTACAATTGAATCCCAAGGATCAGATTGAGGGGCGACGATGCGGCATGCATTATGGATGGTAAGTCGGGTGCCCTCAACCGGAGCATTGTGCAGCTGGTGAAGGCTGTTGCGGATATCATCATCATTTACCCAGTAAAAGTATGATACCTCAAATCCAAACTGCCGTGCAAACAGGGCCTCGGCGAGAGACTCAGCTTCACAGACTGCAAAAGCGAGCACGGCCGATTGAAAGAGGGCAGACTCGGGCAACTGTGTGCCTTCGATACCCAAGACTTCGTTAACTCGAAACCTACCCTGCTGCATATGAGGACAATGTGCGCCTTATTCTTAGATTCCAGTACAACCTTGGCAATGAGCTCGACCATGTTTGGCCAGACATCTGATGGTTGCACCCTGGATGCCAAGTTCGTAACCAGGAGAAGGGGCTCTCAAAGACCTCTGTTTCCTTAAAGGACTCAATCATTGGTGCACATGAAATGATCCGGCACATGAACTTGGAGTCTTGGCCGAGAGCTGCGTTCCAAACTTTTCAGAGAAGGACGTCAGGCCCAATAGCAGCTGTACTATCAGCTCGCGGACTGCAAGCCCCTCCGAAACCCCAGGCTGTCTGCTGCCTCATATAGGTCCTTGTTGGGTTGTTGGGATTATCCGGTCCCTCCCTTAGCATGTAGCGAACGAGTCTGGTATCTCGGGCCACTGAGGGAAGGGCATCAAGAGTAACACAAGCACGATTCAGCTTCACTGCTACCTCCGTCCGTGCTTTAGTGCTTGCACCGGATGACGCGATCAGGATGGGAAGCAGTATCCATGGGGACCCCCACGGGGCCCCTGCCGCGACCTTGAGCTCATCTGCAGCCACAGTGAGAAACCCATATTCAGCTAGCACGAACGTGGCTGCCCCGACACCACGGTGGACCCCTCCAGTCTCGCCGCATTGTGTTGCCATGCGGAACACAAGCGTAAAGTCCTTTAGTGCCAGCAAGCGATCAACAATGTCCACTGAATGCATGCCTGTCAGGCAGCCGGGTCTTCAGGATCGAAGGAGGACGAGGCAGGCGAATCGAGCATCCGAGTCTGCTTTCTCTTGGGGCGTCAGAGGCACTTGGCGCACATTGAAAGTACACCTGCATCTGAAAGGCACGCTTCGGTACAAGGAGAAAAAGAACGTGCCATTATGCCATTGTGCTCCTGAAGTTAGCGGCCCGCAAAGACTTGAAAAAGCACTGGCAAACCTGGCGCCTCCCCAAGATTCACATTGTGAGTAGGACTAGGATACACTAGGATACAGCACTGCATAACTTTGTAGAGGAGATGGGAGGAGATCAAAAGCATGCATGAGGAGCTACCGTAGTAAAGGTAGTAACTGTACTAGAGTACGTCCCCGCGCGCGCTGCATACCGTCGGGGCGCGACGGCGCCGCCCGCCCTCCAGGCAGCCGCCGCGGCCGCTGGAAATGTGATCGCGGCCGCGAGTGGTTTTCTGTTCTTGTGCGGCGACTGTCAAAGTTGAACATCGGTCGCAAATTCGCCGCCTCGGCAGGAAGCTGCTAGTGGCTGCTAGCAGTAGCAGAGCCTTTCTTCGAAGTTCCAGAATTTGCAGATCGTCTTCTGCACAAGGAAGGAAGAGGCGGACGACCTTTCCAAGTCCAGGCAATTGCCCCTGCAGAAGTTTCTCCTTGCACTAAAAGCATGGCTCCCGCAAAGGTTGCAGCCGTTCTGCTTCTGGCGCTTCTCTCGCTTGCGGCGGTTGCTCAGGGGGAGGCGCTTCTCAAGTTGACTGACGCCGACTTTGACACCAAGGTTGGTTCTCAATGATGCGAGATTGAGCTCTTAAAATGCTTTGCCTGGAACCCATAAATTCTCAGAACGAGGAGGTTCTTTGTTGGTCTGGCGGATCGCAATTGTGTATGATGAGGAGTGGATTCTGGGTAGTAAAATGGAGTTTCAGTGTTAAAATGAATTTTCACATTACACATACATGTTAGAGCAATTGTCTCTGCAGAACCTGTTATCTACTTATCTATCTATCTATCTATCCAGATGAGATCTGAACAAGAGCTTCAGCTTGGTTGTTTGTTATTTTTTGTCCCTTACATCTCTCCAATAACAATGGATTATGCAACGTTGTTGCTTCCAACCAAGCAGCATTTGACAGCAGGCCACTCAATTGCAGTCTGTGACGTGGCAGATCAAATATTGCTACGTATGCAGTCCAGGTGACAAAACCAAACTAAGTGGTATTTGACAAAGACGGGGAGTCATTTTACTGTGGGTAACCTGTCAGACCACCTCTTGTTGGGACAGTGTGAGGACGGTACTTGACCCTGTATTGATGAGGAAGTCTCATGTCTCTCTTGATGTGGCAATCGAAGGGATTGCCTGTTTCTTGAGCATGTCGCTTGGCACCTGGCATATCAAAAGGATTCAGTGTCCATGATTATCATCCACTTTTTAATTGTAGGCGCTCATCGCAGTATGTCAAAGTCATACGCGTCAATAGTATAGCTTCAGAGCCAAAGGAAAGCCGCGCTTGCAGTCCCGCTTCTGCACCACCTCTCTTGCGGCTGAAACCCTTCTTTGGCCATTTTCTTACCCACATCTGACAACCACTCCTCAGATCTTTTCTGGGCCTTTTGTCTGAGTGAATAATGCTCCGTGTTCACCCTTTGCACAGTGGCACAACGCAAGCGAGCCTTTTGGATGAAGCCGTTTGCAAGAGCCGTTTGGCACGCTTTTGGTTTCCCAAGGGTTTTTGGAGTTGAGCTGACACAAGTTTCTTTTGGTCCGCAGGTCACGGATGGGAGGGCTTGGTTCATCGAGTTCTACGCGCCGTGGTGCGGCCATTGGTGAGTGATCTAGCTTGGTCTAGAGTACAGTTTCAGACACTTATGGATGTGGATGCGGTGGCAGTTAATTTTAATGGCCTGCCTGATAGAGTTCTGCTTGAGCACGTTCTCACTTTGCGCCTAGCCGTCGACTATGAAGAGATTTGTCAAGCATTGTGGGGCAGTTCATTATTTTCGGTCATGCTCTCTCGTACCTATTTTGGGGGAGAATGTATCTTGAGGAGGATTTGGTCTTTGTGTTTTCAACCTGTTCTGGACGTGGTCACTGGGAAGGCTATTTGATGTGGCTGAGGGGAAGAGTTTCGACCGGAAACCCTGATTTAGCAGCCACAGGCAAGCCGTCGTGGATTGACAAAGCATTCAGAAAGGGCAGAGGCTGCCTCTGTAGCTTGAAAGCGAACGGTTTGATCTTCTCACATCCCGTAGATCGTGCCCCCAGTTCACTTAGTTTAAGGGATGGTTTAAGTGTAAAGGAACCCCGTAGCAGCTCAGAACCCCAAGCTCCAATCAATTGGTAAAACCATCCGTTTGTCCCGAGTGCCTTTTGAGATTAAAAGCGTTATAGTCGATGCTTTTGTAGTACGTAAGTGGCCCCTATGTGGGGCGAACTAGCGAGCTGGTTATGCATGATTAACGTCCCAGTGAATGTCTCATTTTATCATGAACACACATTATTGTAGGCCCGGCTCCCTCAGACAAATATTTTCGAGCCTGGAAGAACCCCTGAAAGCTGCTTCTTTGCAGCAACAAGCTGGCCCCTGTACTTGAAGAAGTAGCGAAAAGTCGGTTGGCCACTGAGAGTGTGTCGATTACTTCTGTCAATTGCGCACAGACATAGCTGTGACCCGACTCCGTACAATAAGGTCTTGCGACGCCCGATACGCCCAAGAAACCTGTCTTTCTGTATCAACGAGTTGGCCCCCACGTGGGAATAACCAGGGACAAGCTGGTCGACCCGGTAATCGTGGTGTTCACTAGCTTTCCTCACAGGAACACTTCTGACCCCAAGTTCTTGAACGACAATTCTTCTTTTACGCCCAGAGTCTTGCTCAAACCCTGTCCTTTACGTTTAGAAGCCGCCTCCACGTAGAAAGAACTAGCAGAGAAATGGGTCGACAACAGGACCGTGGCGCTCCCCTTGTCGACTGCATTTGTAACAGCTTTAACCCCGTTCCGAAAAGTTTGGGGTAACACCAAAGTACCGTCCATTGCAGTAAGAAGCTGGCCCCCACGTGGGAAGAGCCAGCAAAAACATCGGTCAAGTAATAGCATGTGGCAGTTGCCTCTGTCGATTGCACACAGAAACAGCTGTGACCTTGCAAGTAACCAAAGTTCTCTAACCTCCAGAGCCCAAAGGAACTTCGAAAATTCGTCATTGTGCAGTAAGAAGCCGGCCCCCACGTGGGAGGAGCTAGCAGAGAAGCTGGTCGACCATAGGAACGTGGCGATCGCCTCCGTCGATTGTGAACAGAAACATCTGTAACCCAGAATTGGAAAACGCTGGTTACTAAAAGGCCGAAACAAATCCAAAATTCCGCTTTTTGCAGTAAGAAGCTGGCCCCCACGTGGGAGGAGCTGGCGGAGAAGCTGGTCGACCACGAGAACGTGGCGATTGCCTCCGTAGACTGCACCGCGAACCAGGCGGTGTGCAAGAAGGCCGATATCAAGGGCTACCCCACGTTGGTTGTCTACTACAACGGGGACGCATACAAGACGTACCAAGGTTCGTGCTCTCACGCTTTTTGTTACTGCTTTCCGGTGTGCTGTGCGTTCTTTCTTCCGTTTTGAGTTAAAAGTTGTGTTTGCTTTTGAAGATTTTCTTTCGCCCCTCCTTTAACGTGTTCTTACGATCGGTTCTCTGTTTCTCTTGGTGATGACTCGTGTTCGATTCTCGTATAATCCTGCGTTCTTAAGGAGGTCTTGTTGGTTCTATTGACGAAGGGCGGGTCAACGGACGAGTTACGTATTACCAAGGCCGGTTCTTTCCCAAGTCGCTTTTGGTTATCACAACCTGCGCCGATCTGATGAATGGTCGCATCTACTGGGAGCGGTATCCTGCATTTGAAGTTTTGGCTCCTTCGATATAAAGCAAGTAAGGCCGTCATTGAGGGCTTGACGCTGGTCTTTCATACAACCGGCAAACATACACGGGGTTCTTTGAGCGTCCTACGCTTGCTGTTCTACGTTTGTCTACGTTTCTCTGATACATGAGCTGCCTTCTGTTTGATTTCGTGGTACTTTTGCACCCTTCCGTGCTTCCAGGGAGCAGATTTGAGTGACAGCAAAGAAAGGTCTGTCAATAGGGCGCAGGCCTTTCACCTCAGACCCGCCGTCAAGTCTTCATCTCTTGTAGGCGAGCCAAAAAGCATCTTCAAAGTGGTTGTTTGTGTAACTTTGAAAAAAGACGGGGAACGAGCGATGCAGTCTTCCTGCTACTTTCAAACCGTTGAAATGGACTCGAATGAGGCCTTTTGACTTGACAAGCAACCCTACGCGAGCACTTGCTGAGTCTCAATATTCTTGATTGGTCTTCCGCAAAGACAGATTCGAAGAGAAGGGCGCAGCTCTGAAGCGCCTGGGGTATGTAAAAGCTGGTCGCACAACGTTTTGTATCTCCTAACAATTTATCAGGAAGTGCTTCGGCAGCTAGCAATCCGTGGAGCTTGAACAACTTATGCTATTCCTGTTCGTAAGTCAGAGATCGATTCTAGCCCGAAAGCAAGCAGAACAACGCCAAAAGAAGCGCAGACACTGCCTTCCATGTCCAAAACCTGGAGCCACGTGGACCAGGAACCACACGACTCATTCGGATTCCCCTTTTGAGTTGTTAAACATACATTTAACGTTTTCGAGGTTACAAAAAACATACAAGGATTGTGAATGGACGATTCTTTCAAGCAGCTGGGCTCATTTCAATCTTGTTCTTGCAGGTGCGCGCTCGATCGAAGCCCTCGAGGAGTATGCTGTCAAGACGGCAGCTGAGCTCAACCAAGAGGTTGTCGTCGAAGAATGATTTGTGACAGGAATACAAGTTGTGACGTAATCAGTTTGCAGTTATACTTGATTCCAGGTTCCGGTTTCAGTTTTAAGATTTTTGCTTCGAGGGGAGCCGCTTTGCAGACGTCAAGGTGCAAGCTTGAGTTGAAGCTGTTTGGTTGACCATTAAGGTATATCCATTGTCACGGTGGACTAGGTTCAAAACCGGGCATTGATGCTTAGATTCTGATGTTCATCCGAGATCCGCTTTGCGAGCTCTATTCAATGACCCTTCTCCCCGTTTTGAGAGCATCGGCGGCCAGGCCACGTTTGTATGTAGACCATCCTTGTATGGTGCCGCCCACATGGCCGCAGGGGTCCAGTCCGGTTGTGATGGCCGCCCATGGCTTGTGCTGCGCGGCCCACTTGCAGCTGATACCCGGTGACCATGACGGCGAATCTTTTGATCCCCGATCGCCAGTCGAACGTCGAGAAGGCAGTCCTTGATCTTCATATCAACCGGCCAGAGTTTTCCAGTCTGATGGATTACCGCCTCAATCTATTGAAGCGGGCCGGGCCTACTTCACCGGAACTAGCTCAGTGCCACCCGGATCACCAAGATAGTCCGCGCGGTCATTCGGAATCTGGACTCCGCAATTACTGGTCGTTGCTTTAATTCATTACTGATTAGATAGTATATTGCCATTGAATGCATGCAGACGTTGAGTACGTGTCACTGCACCAGGCCAAGCTCGTTGTTTAATCATGCATTGACAGTCTCTTTCAATTTTCCGAAGTTGAATTGCCCGGCCAACTAGCAAATACGCGTCAATTGTACTCATGTAGATATCAAGGTCAAGTAAAAGAAATGTATATGTGCAAATGCACGCGCCCGTACGGTCAGCGCGACTACAGGCTGTTGCATGCAGTGCTGCTGGCTGTACGCGGCCGCCAAATGTGACCAACGTACTGGCAAGCGGCCTGCTGTGTTCCCGAAGTTCTGCATGCCATGTACGGTCTGCCAGTGGGCGAGCACGCACGTACTTTTTGCTTATCTGAATGTCAAACGATGGTTGAACCCGTGATTACTCGATTCTCATAAAAGATGAAAACGCACGTTTGAAAATTTTCAGGGCTTCTAATATATTGCACTGCGGATTTCCAACAAGGGGCAGAAACTGTCGGAAGTCAGGAATTAGACGTCTTTCAATTGCATCGCGCATTAAGTCTGCCCTCAATGCTTTGTCGCGACTTCAAAGCCTCGGCGGCGGGTCGCGCACGGAGCCCGTCGAGGGCCCTGGAAACTTTGGAGCCGAAAGTTTGTCAGGCCCGTTTTAGGCGGTGAGCTCCCTCTGTAGTTGACTCAGCCGCCAGAGAAGGAGCACGGCGTGGAAGCTGCCACCCACGGTTTGCGCGTTGGGTTGGGCCTCCGCGCCAGGACCAAAAACAAGCAGTGGCAGACGGAAAATCTAAAGATAGTGAAAACGGCTCCTGGCAAGTTTGAAGAGGCGGAGCTAGTTAAGAGGGTGGGACAAAGTGCCTGATCTCAGTGTTGGGGCAGAAGTTTTGACCTTTTGTTAGAGTCGGATGGCTCGGCGGAATAAAAACAAACGGACGAGCGGATTGAACGGCAGATCCTGAACGAGATTGGACCCGAGAACATGGAAGTCAAGACTAGTAAGGAAGGGCAATTGATGGAAACGAGCAGTCTTCTAAAAAGGTTGGGGGTACGTTCCGAGTCGACTCGCATCAACAATAAGGTCAGACTTGTTTGTGGTGTTGCTGGCTTTGCTGGCAGCTGTTATAAGCTGGCGGAACGGAGCTCATGCAGGCGAAACTGACCGGAACTTAGGCTGAAAGCGGAAAGGTGCGAAGACCCAAATGACATGTAGAATGAAGCCGCTTGGTGAGAGCAGCTTCAGAAGCCCGACTCAGCATAAGTCCTGAGAGGCGCCCGCCGGGAAACATGTGGTACAGTGATCGTCTGCGCTCGGCGGTTGTCCTTTTTGCATGCGGCCGCTCCAACCCTTGCTGCGATAAGTGAAGAAGGCACAATATGGTATAGATACACGCGGACCAGAACTTACGTGCGTGACGTCTGCCACCCTGACAGAATGAATTTTGACCATTTGGTTCTTCTTCATGTCATCGGAGGCCCGGCCGCCTCCGAGCTCAGTATCGTTCCATCGTTCGGGCCTTCATGTTCGAACAAAGAAGGGCTTAGCCTGTCCTCCAGTGAAGCTGACGCACGTAATCTTAAATACAAACTTCAAGCTTAGGTTTTGGGAGACTCAATTGCGAATGCCCAGAACACTAGACAGTGAATCTGGTGATGTAATGATGATGCGCAAGCTGAGAAAATGACTCTGAGGCTGATTGATCCTATCCGTAAGGCGTACTCACACGTCGTGCATGATAAATGGACTGCTCCGGACTAGTCGCTTTCCAGCTAGCGGACCAAGAGTCTCATCAACAAGGTTAATTGCCGGACCCTTGAAAACTTCAGAATAGCAACAGCTCGACGAGGCTTATAACTTAAATATATAGCCTTGAAACGTTAAGTGACAAGTAGATATTGGCCTCTCTGACAGAAAGGCTTTGGCATACCTTGTCGAAACTTGCCGCTCGCTGGGCGAGTCGGTCCGGCGAGTCAGCCATTGAGATGGTTCTGACTCACCTCAGACTTGTACACAGAAAAGCCGCAAAGTCGGTGGTGAATCCGGCGAACTAGATCTGGCAGACGAGAACCTGCCGCGGCATGCCGCCAAAAAACCCTGGGGAGCTGAGCACATCCGGAAGTCCTGGAGTTGGTGAAAATTCGGGGATGCAAAGCTGCCCCTAGAAGTGAGCCTTTTATCAACAGAAAGTGGAGTCCTTGAACATCGCGGAGCTGGACCATTAGCTGGCAGGCGCCAAAGAAGGGATCTGGTGCGCATGTTACCGGCCAGAAGCCAAAGCCAGGGCCTCTGCTGCGTGTCGTAGTACTGTGATCGAATTTCGGACGCTTTATTATACGGTACAATATGGCACACTGTGCTACGCACAATTTAAATGGCGGATGACACCATTCATCTTACGGGATCACCGTGCGGCATTGGTATGTGGAGAGGCTTCAGGAGGCCTGGCCTCTGCAATGTGCAATATGGCTTCATGTGCCTTTGACTCGCATAACTATCCTTGAAATCAAATGGAGGTTGAACGGGTCGGCAAAAGGCCGCACCAAATACATAGTACCTGCTGGCACAGAATGCATATGCAGGTAACGACATTTGCAGAAATAGCTGTGCCGTAGGCATATGAGGTCACGTGCCAACTCAACTCAATCCACAAGTAGGCGGTTCCTTGGACGGGGCCCGGGGGTGAATGACTTTGGTGCGCCCAACTTTTCAGGGGGGCAGGTTGCCAAAAGATGACGAGATTTCAGATTGAGCCTGCACAGTGCACAGTGCACACTGCATGCAGCCTGATCAGCTTCTGGTGTCAGGCTTCCGGACTCGAGTCCGGACCCCGGTGTCTTTCAAGCTCTGGGCCGGGCCTGGCAACTCGAAGTCAGCGTCAAATCTGTAGGCTGTCAGGCTTTGGCGGCAGGCCCAGTCCGATTCTTGAACTGCTGGTTGCCTGTACCAGGCTACAGCTCTTCGATCCAGGGCCGGGCATACCTAGGATTCGCGGCCGCGCGGCCGCGTACAAGATGAGCTCATTCAAGGATCGGATGTGCTCACTTTCCCTGTACACGACTTCGATCTCTGCGCCGGCAAAAGTTCAAAGTACACATTACGGTATGTACCGGTCAGTAGTGTCAAGTGTCGACAGCGGTCGGGGGAACGTCCCTTGGCCAATGATTGAAAATTTGTACGCTTCGCCGCACCGGTTTGCACTCAGGGTACCGTACGGATATAATTTGTGAGCGCGACAAGATCGACTTGTACAGGTAGGTACTTGTGTAGTGTGCTTAGCTTTAAGAGCTACCGTAGCTGAGCGACAGTTTGCACAGAGCTTCAGTCATGAGTCATGACAGTTCGTGATGATTTTGTTTACGACAGCCTGCTGGAATTTGCGAAGGCTTATCTAGAGACTGCCAGCTGGCGGTCTGCTCAGCACAAGTCTCATTTCATTGCCTAGTGCAAAACACCACTCACTGATCGGAGTGCGACCTCCACAACTCCTGACTCCTGAGTCTCGAGATACAAAGCGAGGAATCTTATCCAGCTCGATCCACAAATCAAAAGAGCAGCTGCCGTCTCCTTTTTAGCATTGCACAGCCAGAAGTTGCGAGCGCATGCGCGGGGCTTGGTGGATCAGACATTCAGCGCACCACCGCCACCCTTGTTTCTGCGACTTCGCTTCTGATCTGGTCGGCACAATGGCGGTCATCAAAGGTGAGATGTCTGTGCTCTCTTGAGCTGCTTTGGTCGGTCCTTTGATTTGATCATGGGTTTTGTGATCTGATTGGCATCAGATCAGACTTACGGAATAGGTGTGGGCTCGAGCTCCGCCAGGTTTGTAGTTCAATGAAGTGCTGCCACGTGTTGCTTCACCTCGTTCAGCTCATCAGTAAGTGGAAGTGAACAGCCTTTTCAGTTTTGCCTCTAATCTGGGAACCAGCTTCAACTCATTTGAGCAAAGAGATCTACAAGCAACAAGGTTCACCATTCCTGAAGTACTGAACAAGAGCTTTGCCAGCTCTCTTCTTCCAGGAATAGGCTAGGAGTGCCACTCACCAGCTGGGTCGCTCATGTGCTTGATTTCGTTTCTTTGATTCTCTCATGCTAGGCTGTTCGGATCTGCTGACCGGCCTGAGCATCCCACAACGCCCACAATGAGAAAAGCTGCTTAAGTTTTTGGAGTCAATTTCTGCTCCGACACTCTTGTCAACTCAATCGCTTCCTGAGCAACAATGAGACCTGGGCTTGATTTTATACGCCCTGCATAATTTGAGAGGGATCCCATTCTTCTTCACTGCGGTTTCCACTGGGTGAGATCTGCGCGCGCAAGCCACCTTGGGCACAATAATCCGGCATCAAGCATTTCCTTGAACTTTTGCTTATTCTTCTACATTGGACCAAATCATCTCTGGGACTACCCTTACATAGCATAATACTTGAAACTGTGGGCTTCTGGATCTTAGCTGCAACAAGCAGCCCTTTGCAATCCGAAACGTAGGATCTGCAAAGACAGCGGCCTTTGAGGTGATCTAAAAATGTTGCATGTGTAAGGGACGAGTATAGACCACCGCAAGGGCTTTAGTTCCAATTTCAAAGTCCATCCATTTTCCTATTTCCCCAGCCCCAAGGGTGGCACGAAATCCCATTGTAGAGTGCCTTCCATGTGGAAGGACAATGCAAGCTTTCCCTTCATAATGGTTTGCTACTGAAGCCGAGTCCTGGATGCCCCCCTAGCAATGCTGCCCTTCTCATTCTGCTCTCCTGTTGTTCTTAAAAGCGCTTCACGAAAGTCTTCTGCTACAGTGTATGCTCAAACCCGTCGCTTATCTTTCTGCAGCTGTCCCCCTGCTCCTGCTGCTGGCGCTGACGTCATCGGTGTCAGCGGGCCGCGTCCTGCTCCAGTCCTGCCCGAGCACGTGCTACACCGCCTCAGGGAGTACCGGTTACTGCTGCCCATCAGGTGGGTTAAGGCTAACTCTGAGGATCGTTTCCTGAGTACTCACAAATGCGGGTTATGTATGGATCGTTCCAAAGCCAGCACTGCAAACGTTGGCAGACTGTACGTGCTTGAGACGGCTATTAATGCTGCTCATTATCTGGGTAAAGGCATGACCCTGATCGGATCTGATCCTGCCTTGGCAGTTTCTGTATACGTACCTGGGTTCGGAGCCCCAGTGAGAGAAAGAAGGCCACATTAGATGCTCCACATCAGCCTTGATCTACATTGAATACAATCGAATATGCTGCAAATCTCTAGTGGCTGTCAGAGAGTACTGCTTCTACTTGACAGAAAGGCTTGTCTAGATTCTAAACTGCAAAGTCTGCTGTAACTCAAGGAAGCGCTGTCTCGCCAGATCGTGGTCCTCTGAGCCTACACAGAAAGGTTTGGCTGCTAACCAGGCTGTTTACCAGACTTGAGTCTCAGCTTACTGGACAGATAACCAGTCTTCAACCTTAATTCAAGGTTGGTCTGGTCACTGGACAATTAACCTCTTCTTAACCAGCCCAGAACCATCCCTGGTTAAGGACCGAAACCTCCTATGCTATGTCCGGCAGATGAGAAACGTGAATAGAAGCTGCAAAATCACTGGACACCTTCACTTCCCACTAGCTGCAAGCAGAGCGCCCGCTTCGGATTGTCCCGTTTACCCCCCACTTTGCAACGCTCTAGATCTACTCCCCAGCATTTCCACCCGGCTCCGCCTGGCTGATAATACAACGCAATGCCCCCCACCTTTACAGGATTTCCAGAATCTACTCTCCAACCTCTCATCATCTCTCCAGTTCCGGCCATGGTTGAAAGACCTAAGCTCTTCAACTCTGAATGACATTGTAATGCTTTCTAATTTGGTGAGACTTTACATCACGGCACGGCTTCCTTCCTTTCAAAGATTCTTTTCTGTATCTATAGCCCCAATTTCAAGCCAGGCATCTATCACCCCTTTCTTCGATTTGCCTTCCGCTTCAACCGCTTTCAAATGCCAGCGTCTAACTTCACACCTGCTACCTCGCACACCGGCGCGCTTCCCTTCAACTTATTCTACTGTAAACCCTTCCTTCACAGCTTTGAAACCTATCCCTCATTTTCCTCCGGCCCCCCCTGCCAGGCTTCAAACGCTACTCCAGCGATCGACACTTTTACGTGCTACCCGCGTCAATCACGAGCTAACCCTCAAAGCTGATACCCCTACATATGGATCGCTTTCTTGAAACCGCACTCTATATTCTCATTTTCTCCCCCAGGCTTCAATTGCTTCTCCAGCGACACCTTCACGTGCTACCCCGCGTCTGCGAGCTACCCCTCCGACCCGTCAACTGCGGTTAGCAACGGGTTTACAGCCGGGTCAACTCCCGCCCCGACCACCGGAAGCCCCGGCCCGGCCGGAAGCCCCCCCACGGAAAGCCCCGTTGCCCCAGGACCCGCCCCCGCAGGAACTGATTCCAGTAAGCCCCGTTAAAACTTAACCCCGTTCTTCTGTTTTTATCAGAACCTTGGCTGGGTTTGACGGATTCTGGTGCTATTTTTGGTGCGTATATCGCCGGGTCGACTTCTGTCGCGACCACTGAATGCCCGGCCAGCCTTGTGGGGGATCCCCCAGCTGGAAGCCTATGAGCACCTGGCCCCTTAGCCGCGGCGCGGCGCAGTCGAATCTGGTGAAATTGTGTCTTCCTTTTGCGTGACTGTCTGCTCTTATGTTTGGATCTTCTCTACTAATTCAACAGCTTTTGGTCTTGCATTTTAGACATCTCGTTGTCTCGTCTCCCTATTCCGTCCGCCCCTTCCGCTCTTCCTCGGAAGGCACCGGTCCGCTCCTGATTGATTCTTTTGCTGACGTCTTGGAGTTCCTCTTTTGCGTGTAGCGCCAAGCGCATCCTTCTTTCTCTGCCGCTCCTTGTAATGTTCAATGGCCAGTGAAACTGCTATCCTGTCCGGTTCCGTGCTGTCCGCTTGCGATACTCAGAATGGAACCTCACCTCTTCTCGTCTCAAAACCTCCGGCGCTAAGAAAGTTCTAGTCCGTTCCGTTTTTGAATCGGAATTAACTGGGCTCTCTGGCGCCTCATCAGACCTGGAACATTCTCCTGCCTGTGCGCGGCTGACTCAAATCTCCATTCCGGCCTATATGTGGACTATGTGTCCGTCCCTTGCAAATCCAGCTCTGACACCGGGACTGCGCTCACCCTTTCCGTTCCATTCCGCAGACGCCATCGGCATTCCGCTGTCCGGCGGCTCCTGCACCTCCTCTGCCTACCCGTCGACCTGCACCACCGCAGACGGTTCCGCCCAATACTGCTGCCCCACCGGAACCGGATGCTTCTCCTCTTCCACATTCACGTGCTACAGCCTTTCCGCCGGAACGTACCCTTCCGGCCCGACCAGCTTCGACTGCTCCAAGATCATCGAGCTGACGATCGATGACGCGCAGGCACTGTTCAAGACCGGCGAGCTGACGTCACGCCTGCTGGTGTCGTGCTACCTGCAGCGGATCGCTGACTATGACAACATCGGCACGTTCAAGGGGCTCGTGAGTAATGCTTTTCATGGCTCCGTTTCTCCTTGGTAATTCGAGAGTTCGTATATTATACCACTGACGCCACTATTCCAAGATTGTGGTTGCTTAAGACGGCTCTGCGTGATCCGCAAACGAAACTTCGCGTCCTTCGTATATCTTCTGATTTTGAAATTGCTTTGGGAGGTCTCTTCTTGGTTCTTAGTCCAGCACACGCAACCCACGAGCTTTGCTTGCGATTTTAACCCGACAAACTTAACCGGCTAACTCGGAAGAGTATCAAGCGCGGGTTTTGCCCTTTCGACCAGCTTGGACATCTGCTTTTCAGTTGTCCGCTATCGAACTAGTGCTTTCAAATACATATCAGAAAATGCGAGACTTATATTCCATATCAAAAAATGCTGTTCGGGACCATTCTCTCCACTTCTCCGCTGTCTTGTGTGCACGGAATACTTCGATCTGATCACACGGCACAAAAATTGACCGCTTTTCAACTAGCCAACATTTTTCTGGTGTCAACTTCGATTACCTTGTTTGTGCAGACCGCTTATGCCACCAACGCCGTTTTGGAGCTCAACCCGACGGCTCTGGCCGACGCCGACGCGAAGGACATCGAGCGCGCGGCGTGCGCGCCCAACTGCAACCTCAACAAGCTGCACGGAATTCCGGTCGCCCTCAAGGACAACGTGTGCGCGGACGGAATGGAGTGCACCGCTGGTGAGGAAGCCGTTTATCATTGCTTCTCTGTAAGTATGCGGTGTTCCGGTCGCCCTAAACAAGACACGTCTGCTCGGAAGGTTTAGAGTTGACGGTTAGCGGAATCCGCTCATCCGTTCCGTTGCTGTAACATTTTGGGAATGATCCGTTTCAGGTCTCTAGGGTTGAGTAGGCAGAGAACAATTGTAGGGCGGTGAGTTATGGCCAAAACAATCTCGAATTCGTTCCTGATCAGTCCGTCCATTCCGCTCAGGATCATGGAACCTGTTCGGTTCCGTCCACGAGGAGGCCTACCTCACGACCGGAATCAAGAACGCGGGCGGAATTATCCTGTGCAAGCTCGGCCTCTCCGAGTGGGCCAACTACCGCGGCAGCTCCGTCTCCGGCTGGTCCGGCCGCGGGGGGCAAGTTTACGTAAGTGACGTCACGCCGACGTCATCATCGGCTGGTGACGTCTTTGCCAGCTGAGTCGAAGTCGCTTTCAGAGGCCCAGAAAGATAGGAACTACCCCCCCTTCACGGTCATCCAAGATTCTGTGCGTTCCTTCCATGCGCGCTCATTGGACAGCTAGTAATTGTCCACGTACAACCCACCTGTTAACTTCTCCGAAACGAGCCTTAATCTGCTCTCCTTTCCATGTACTGAACCCGTACGTCTGATGCAGCAACCTATCATAGGGCCTAGCTACCTGATCGTCCGCAATCCTCATATTGAAACAGTCCACAACTCAAACCCTACTTTCCCGTTCGTTAAACCCAGCCTTAACCCGCCTCCGTTGTGTGTGCAGAATCCGTACGTCCGTTACTCCATCAGCGGCCAGCTGATCGTCCGCAACCCTTACCCCGAGATTCCCTCCGTTTTCCCCGACAACACCACGTTTGTCAACTACACGAACCCGACGATCGTCTCCGGGAGCTCTTCCGGTTCCGGCGTCGCAGCCGCGGCCAACCTGGTAAGTCGAAACTCTAGACTTCCGGTTTTGGTATCTGGCTGATCTAGGCACACTGACGACTTGCAGACTGATTCAGGCAAAATGGAGGAAGGGAGTCAGAGCTCTACTCTGAAACTGCAGGACAAGTTGACGCGGAAAATATCCCGCGACCTCTTCCAACTCCGGTTCCGTTTCCGGTTCCGGTTCTGGTCCTCGATTCCTGCATTCCCGTGTCAGTAGCTCACAGTGCCGGAAGATGTTCGAGCAAAGCGGGGCGAAAAGCGCGCAGATTGACAGATCTGAAGCCTTCCATTCTTTGATATCCAGATACGGACTCGTTGACGCTTTCCTTCCGTTCAAGCTTCCCTCAAGTTCAATTCTTCTCGATCGGATTGTTCGTTGGCCTGACCGCTTCTTCTTTACCCGTTTACCTTCAAATCTTCTTCAATCCGTTTTTCGTCTTGGTCGTCTAGTCTGATTCGTCGTACGGCTGCTGCAGGCGATGGTGACCATCGGATCTGAGACGAGCGGATCGATCCTGGGCCCCAGCGGAGCGAACGGAATCGTCGGAATCAAGCCCACCGTGGGCCTCGTCAGCCGCGCCGGCGTCATTCCGCTCTCGGAGTCCCAGGACACCGCCGGGTGAGTTGTTTAACGGTAACGGAACTGTGACGGTTGGGACACTAGCTTCACAAGCGCGGTTCAGCGCTTTGAAGACACTACAAATCCCCTCAGCAGCCCTATCAAAACGTGACGTCACGTCTTGATAGCGATGACTTACCTCAGGCGTTCGGTGCTCTGCTCGGACGGTCCAACCGTTCGCAATTTCACAGTCGTCTGTAAAAACACTGCCTCTAGACATCTCAGCCGTCGAAATCCGCTTGTGACTTAGGAACGCAGACTGAGCATGGGTTTCTGCTGCCAATTCTAGCGGTTCAACTTTGAAAACCAGGGCACGTCCCAAAGACTCGCAAAGCAGTTTAAATCTTAGCACCTTTCACTGCGTAAGTCGTTCTCGTGGCGTTCTGCGGCGTTCTATCACGTACCACTTTCAGCGCTTCGGTTTGAGAAGTGACGGATCTCAGCCGTCAGATACTCGAATCAACGGTCCGATGTGCAGGCCCATGTGCCGGACCGTCGCGGACGCTGTGTACCTTTTGGACGCTACCACAGGCGTCGACCCGAAGGATTCGTACACCGCCGGACAGGTCGTGCCCGCGGGCGGCTTCGCGCAGTTCCTCAAGACGACGGGCCTGCAAGGTGTGAATGCGCTCGCTCTGCATCTTCATTTGAGAAGCCCAGATTTGGAAAAGCTAGACGGATGGTGCTTAATGGGGAAAGACGAAGAGTCTTCGAAAAGAGTGTGTTTTTATAAGGACGGATTCTGTTGAAGTTAGTCGATTCTCGCGCTAAGTGACGGCGCTGGTTGGTGGAGCTTAGCTATTTCTCGATCTATTGGACTGTAAGCCCAGTAAACAGTAAGCATTTCGGGGTTACCACAAACCCTAACCCAGAAGACCACTCGCTTCCCACCCTTGCCCACCCTAACCCCTAACCAACCGGACCCGTCTCCGTTACTGTTCACCGGCTGTTACTGTTCACTACATCGATCGGGATGGAGCTTAGGCGGAGTCGATACCGGCAAGAAAACTGGCCGGTTGAGAACCCTGAGCGGTTTTACCCGAAGGATACAGAAAAGCACGCCAGAACTTCTGCTTGATTACTTAGAGTACTCAGCCTACATTTCCAGTCGATCTATTTGACACGCCTCAATCTCACCACAATCTTTCCCAAGCGCGTGCCGCCCATCTAGTTCCACAATAACAGAGTTCAAAGCATGGTCAGACCGTGACATCACCAACTCAACCCGTTCTCATTTGGTACCCTTCGAAATACAACGATTTGATCCGCGAAGTTGCTTCGTCAGTTCATCAAATGTTCGGAAAGTCGAGTCCTTAGATGTCGTTTCAACGCCGATCCAAGGGTCCAAGATCAAGAAGCACGGGCTCACCATTTGGAGTCCCGAGTGCAAAAAGCTCTATAAAGTGACGTCCTCCTTTTCTGTTTGTCTGATGGTCGCAGGCAAGAAGATTGCGTTCCTGCCCCTTAACCCCAACACGACCAACTCGGCCACGCTCGAAGGTTACAACGCCATTCCTGATATCCTCAGGTGAGCGTCTTTATTCTTTATTATTTTTTCTTTTTCTTCTTTCTTTTTTCTTCTTTCTTTTTTCTTTCGTCTTCTCTCTTTTCCTTTTCTCTTTTCTCTTTTTTCGTCCCCCAGTTACCCTCACCTGCCATTGTGGTCCAGGGTTCTTCTCTTTTACTTTCGAAGCTTTTTAGTGAATCGATTTCTTCCTTGTCGTGCAATTCTGCATGGCAATCACCGCCATACTTTCCTCGATCTTCAGTTTATTTCACCAGTCTATGCCATTCCGATTATCACATCCGTTCAACCTTTGTACATTCCAGAAGTAGACCCGGAGTGCTCTGACCTTAGCGTTCATTTTCGATTTCTTCTCTGTAAAGCTATTCACGGCCCATTTCATTTCCGTGTACTCTCGTTATCGATCGTATCATTTGATAGCCTCCCGCCGGTCTCACCTGGCTCCAAAGGTCAGAACAGACCAGGAATCTTCAGTTCCAGCCTTTCAGGGATTGCCAGCTTAACAATCGAGATATCACCCCCGTCGACTCATCTATCTTCTTAAAGCTTGCGGAACCTAGTCACGGTGCTTCTAAGCTATTGGTCCGGCTCAGCAATCCAATCACCACATGTTGCCCTTTTGTTTCACCCTCCCAAGTACTTCTCGACTTCATATCGAATAAGAGCATGGTGACTAAGGGCAGTGCTCGGGGACCAAAACAAAACGAAAAACTGAAACCAAAAATGACACGCTCCGCACCCGTACCCACCCTAACCCTCAAACCAACCCTACCCGTCCCCCGGGCGCCCTCCTTGGTCAACACGGCCCTTAGTTTCAACATGGAATCGAGACAACTCTCCCTGGCAAGTCTGGAGCGCCTTAATGGCCCACCTTCAGTGCCTGCTTCCGCTTCCGCTTCCGCTTCCGCTTCCGCTTCCGCTGTCGCTTTCGCTTTCGTCAATGAGGCAGAACGTGACACTGCATCCTGCTTACAATTCCGCTCCTTTTCCGTTCCTCTGCGCAGCGCTGAGGGCGCTATCCGTTTTCCCCTGGAACTGCTTTCCGGCCGTTCCGGTTTCCGTCGACCTTTTCTTTCCGATTCCATGTAAATTCGGAAAGACTGCACACCCTGGTTCCTCACTTTCCCCATCCTTGTTGCACAGGGCCCAGGGCGCCACCGTGGACGAGCTTCCGTTTCCGTTCACCATCCCCGGAACGGCCAATCTCGGAACAGGCGGAACGGGCGGCATCTTGTCCACAGACTTCAAGGTCAACATCAACCAGTTCCTCTCAGGTACGCGTCTACAGCAGTTTGATCGTTCGAAGATCGGCGTTTTTCTCCAAGTTCGAATCCAGAATTTCGAGAGATAATCCAGAACTGTACGGTTCTCGCGATGGCGGTCAAACGATTTGGTTTGATTGTCAAGCGATTCGGGTTTTACGGCTCTCCTCTTGCCCTTTCAGACCCCTTCAATCAATCTCCTAAAATAATATGTCGAATATCTTTCACAGAAGGGGTTTCCGGAACTTGTCGGCCTGAGCACCTCCCCCAGTGATCTGAATTAAGGTTGAAACCGGCTCAGAAGTCCTCTGTGGGCTGTCCTAACGAAGTTTTAGAGCTACTTGCGGATCAAATCTGGTTTCTGGGTTAACGAAGTTCTTGCATACCGACCTTTCCCACTTTCCTTAGGCTCCTTTGCAGGGCCCTTTATGGAAAAAACCTGCTTTTCCTTAACCCTCTATCAATGCTGTCTCGACCTTGTCTAGCTAACTCCTTGTCTCTCGCGTCTTTTCCCTGAATCGATAACCGCCGTATTAACCTGGTCTTTTTTCTTGTTGCAGAGCTGAGCTGGAAGCCCGGCTTCACCGTTCAGAAGACCCTTGCGGACATGATCCAATTCAACAAGGGTGAGCGCCCTCGTTCTGTGGAAACACCGTTATGAAAACTCCCTTCCTTTCTGTGCTTTTCAACTATAATTCGTCATCTGACCTTGCATGTCCATTCGAATCCAAAGACCACACGTCCACTCTTCTCTTAGTGCGTATTTTTCGCATCCATTGTTTGTCCGTCGATCTGCCTTCCGTCCGATTCCATTCCGTTCCGTCCGCCAGCAGGCCGAGTCCGTCCGCACGTCTCGAAGGCGTACTGTGTCCTGATCGGATTCCGAGCCGCCTATGTGCCGTGCCCGTCCCCTGTCTAACCCGCAATATTTTTCGATAACGTTACTGCTGCTTAATCTGCTTCGAGCCACTCTGCCGTCCGTTTTCTGTCCGCTTACGTCCGCAGCCTTCCACTCCAGATGCCGTCCGCTATTTCTTCCTCCGTCCTTTGCCCTCCATGATCTGCCATCCGTACTCCCTCCATTAGTTTCTGAACGGATTTACTTCAGACGATTTGTTCCGACTCTTTCTGTCATCCTACGTCCGATCCTATCGTTAATTCTGTCCACAGATGGTCAATATGCGTCTTTTTGTTCTTGAAGGTCCTCGGGTCGATCGCATACTTTTCTGCTTTTTGTAAGTTTTGCGTGTGCGTCCAAAGGCGCTCAGAGGCAAATTTTGCCGTTCCGCTTCGCTTTCGTTGGGAGTCGTGATTGCTTGTAAGGTCTCACTCACGGAAAACCAGTTTCCTTCTTCCCCAAGACTTTGTTATTCTTCTGCACGCGATGATTCGCCTCCACTTACGGTCCGTTCCTTTGCGAAGGGTCCCTCGTCTGATTGACCAGTAAACAGAGAAAGACCCAGATCTTATTCTCCGTCGTTTTTGCAGACAACTATCTGCTTGAGTTCCAGGGCGGCACGTGCTGCCGCGGCGAGCCCGCCTACGGCAACTTCTTCCAGCAGACCTGGGAAAGCTCGCAGAACACCACCGGGTTTAGCAACCCTAACTACATCAGCGCCAAACAGGTAACCCGTCTTTCTTTTCGACACTTCTGACTCTCATCATGGCGTCTTTCTGAGTTTTGACAAAGGTGCGTGAGGGAAATCAAGTTCTTCCAGCAGACTTGGGAGAGTTCGCATAACACCACCGGGTTTAGCAATCCTAACTACATCAGCGCCAAACAGGTAACTAATGATCCATATCTTTCTTGCTTGACGCACTTCTGCATTTCAAGGCATCTTTGAGAGCTTTGTCAAAGTTTCGTCCGGAAAACTTCTACCAGCAGACTTGGAAAACCGTAAGGCACAACTGGGTTTAGCTATCCTACCTGCATCAGCGCCAGACAGGTAAACCTATCTTTCTTCCTTGACGCATTCCTAAAGACTGGGGGTTATCGCAGGCGTTGTGTAAAAGCCTCGTCAATCAAAGAACACTCGCCCAAAAACAGCAATAGTTGTTCCTGAAATACGCGCAGAAGACCACCCAAATGACTTTCGTCACGTTCAGAACACGGCTTTGATTCGAAATCAAGCCCAATTTCAGAGTACGCGTCGAACACTAGCGGTGCCCAGTGGGTCCCAGCAGTCCTTATCATAACTTCTCCCCGCGTATACAGAACGCATCGGCGGTCGCGGCAGGCATCACCTCGTTCCTGGACGGCAACGGCTACGACGCGATCACATCCACCGGCGGGCTCACCGGTACCTTTGCCACCGCCCAGTGAGCACCCCCTCACTTCGAACTGTACCATACTGCTTCTGATGTCAGGATCCGTTTGGATTATGTGTATTTTTTGTCCGATGTATTTCCCTCTGCTTTTTGATATGACTCTTGCGACATTCATATTGAGGTTGACATGTGCTTTCTTCCTGCGCACTACTAAAAAGACGGTCTCTCTACTCCTATCTTGGATTTAGTACTGAGGCTTGAAGCTCTTTTTGAACGGCTACTTGTCCGTTCGGAGGATCGTCGTTCACGTCAGATGCGGCATGTTTGGCCGGTCTCCTCAAGTCTTTTCCAAACCGTTCACATCTCTCAATCAACTTTGTTCTTTTGCCGAGCACTAGCTGTCACCGCCCCAAGCTGTCCACTGCCATTCGCATAGACGTTTTACAATAAAAGATGAAAATACAATCCAAGCACTTCGTAATAGGAGACTGACCGATGATTTATCCCCCGGCCGTTTTTCCAGGTTCCCGAGCATTTCCGTCCCCGGGCTCAAGTCCAGCCTGGGCAGCCCGGTCGGATTCGTCTTCCACGGGGTGCGCTATAGCGAGGCGAAGCTTATCGAGATGGCGTATGCATACGAGCAGGCCAAGCCATTCCCGCGCCCAATCCCCACTTACTGCAACGGCGCCAGTTGCTGATCGCCACGTGGCAAGTGCGCAAGTGGGCGCAGGAGTGCGTGCGGGGATCGCGTGCTGGAGAAGTACTGGGAGTCGGGTTAAGGTTTTGAGTTAGACATGTTGCTAGGTTGGGTAGGGTTTTGGACATGGGTCAGAATTTGTAGTTGCACGGGATCAATAAGAACTGCATTTCAGCTCGGTGCGTGGAGCATAAGTTATGTGGAATAGCAGCCTCGCTTTGGAATGATCAGACAGGCTCCCCTGACGTTTTCCATGAACTGCTGAACATTCGGAGGTTAGCAAATAAGCTCACGCCATTGGACGGTAGAAACATCAAGTGTGTGCCAGAAAGTAGGGACCCAACATCTCCTCAAGGAATAAGTGCTTGGTATAAGCAGATTAGAAAGAGCAAACGAAAACGTCGGAACGAGGCTAAGCCATCGTTTAATAAGTTATTCGTCGTGGCTACAAAGACTACTCCACTTCGAAAATCTTGGAAGCCTTTGTTTGCTGCATCCGTCCGACATATGCTATCTGTTGCAGCCTTGAATCATGCTGGTCAGATTTGCATAATCTGATCTCGTGAGATCAACACGGCGTCTCATTGTAGAGTAGATGTATACGTGTTCGCTAGCGCCGAAGCTCGCGGGCGCGTGTAGCTTTTACAAACAAGGCCGGAAGCCAACTACTTTGTTTCTGATCGAACAAAAGTCGAAGGAACCAAGTGCTCGAGTTCAACCCCTGCATCATATGTAGAAGTAGGAGTGCGAGGCTTTCTCTTTTCAGCATAGCGGTTGATGTGCGTGTCTGCCGACTAGACACAACAGAGCCGCGCGCACCTCGATCACCCCCTGACACACCGATCTCTTTCAGGCTACGGAGCCTCTAAAAATCTGGGTCCTATTCTTGAGTATAGCGTGGCCGAGTCCTTCAACTGACGTTGTGGCCTGGTTTCAATTAAGGTGGAAGGGACAACGAAAATTAGTAGTTTCAGATCCGCGAGCGCTCAGGCGATCTCAAAGTACCGTTTAAATCTTAGGCACAACATCTATAGCACCTAGCGGGCCGCAGCTAGGCTTGAAGGATCTATTGCAACCAACGTACAAGAATGCAGACGCGCTTAATCTCCTAACTTAAATTGCGTCCTAACTTAAGTTGCGGACATCTGGTTCGCGAGCATTCTTTTTAACTCCCTCAAAAAGCTGCCAGTCAAGGGAATCGCGCCAGTGACATTCTATTACAACGCAGCTTATAATTGTTCGATACTTCTGGAGGGCCTTCCTCCCATATAGATGGACGAGCGAGCTGATCAACCAAACACTCAGGCAACCCTCCTTCAGTATCCAAGTCGCCTTCGATCAGTTTCAAGCAAGCCTTTCGCTTGCTAGCTTCATGCACCCTCGTTCCGCTTCCAGACTTATGAGTAGCTCGTAGGCCTTCCTCAAATACCAAGTCGACTCCGTCCGGGTTCTGTACGTCCGCTTGCGTCCCGTCTTCTGCTGAAAACGCCGTCCGTTTGCGCGGCCCTTTGCCACCCTGCTCCTAATAGTTTTGAGGATATTCTACATCCGCTTATTTTGACCTTTTCCATCCCACTACCGGCCGCCCTTTCTTGCCTGAATAACTTTCAGTCTTCCTCGTCTTGCGTTTGACTACCAGTCTCGTCCCTCCGCTCCTCACTTTTGTCTATGTGCAAGTGAGATCTCCAACTACCTTCCGGTTTCGGTCATCTTACGTCCGTGGCGTCCTTCCGCAGGTCGTTCCGTCCGCTCCGTCCGTTCCGTTCCTAGGACATCCGCGGTAATTGTGCTCTGACGTCCGCGTTCCCAACCGCTTTGTAATCTCGGAACAATCTTCTCTTGATGGCGTCGTCTCCGAGACGGTACCGATCCGGTACCGCGCTTTGTGCTCTCCTTAAAAGTTACTTCGCTTGATGACATTTTCAGGTACTCGAGCATTTGCAGTACTGGAGCTCGAGGCAGGCCGCTCGGCTCAAGCCAGCTTTACGGGCATACGGGGCCTTCACGGGACAGCGTAGAGTGAGGCGAACCTTAGTAGATTGCAACATGTGCAACGAGCAGGCCTTCCCGTCTTTCCCGCTCCATTTCTAGTAAATCAACGCCGCCCTTTGATAGCCACGTGGCAGTTGCGCCGTTGCGTGCGAGTGGGGTTGCACAATAGTGCGCGTTTAAGACACTTAAGAACAAGGGTCTTCGTTTGAAATTAGCTAAACATGTTGCTTGCTCAGGTCGGACATCGGACGGGCACAGAACTTATCGAAGTTTATAGGGCTCGAAGCAACACGGGCACTGTGGAGCTTTAGCAGGTTATGCGGATTCGAAGACTCGTTTCGGAAATGTAACAGGTCAACTATTCAGTATTAAGCATGACGTAAGCAGGTGACCCCGCAGGCTCCACATCTAGGTAATAGGGACGCAATCAGGACACCTACGTAGGAGCCAACGTGTTGGAAGCCGAAGCTTACAAAGCATATAAATCTGTCATGCTCCAAAGTTAACCAGCTACTTCAGTTTTACGTGCTCCCTACGCTTGTCTGATTTCGGGACAGCGTCATGCAGTATCATTTGCCGGACAGTGACCGCGTTGCTAATATAGCATGGCCACCTTTAGAAACCGTAAAGATCCTGCCAGGTGTTCATATGCATGATTCTGGCCCGCGGCCGTTGCCCGGTCACTCATGCCAACATGATTGACCGACATCATATTCTTGTGTTGATCTAGGCTAGCTCAGCTGTTATATTATAAGCGATCCTGTGCATGCAGCTTCAGCCGGGCATAATGGTGTGCCACGGCCGCGGAAAAGTACTAACACTTTACGCGGGTAGGAATGACAATTAAATAGTAAATAGGTTGCACAATGATGGCGGCTGCATGATAGACCCAGAGCTGCTGGCACAACCGCCTGCACCGGACTTTATACTGGTTACTTTCGTGTAGCTTCAGAAGCATTTGATTATCATATATCCTATTTACTGCAGTGCACCTTGCAAAGAGTCAGCTTGTAGTACGTACCACTAAAACAGATTGAAACTAGAAGTGAAAAGACGTTAATTGAAAAACTGATATGACCTCGTCGTTCCGACTAGCTCGATTGACACTTTCCAAGTACAACTTGGCAAGATTTGGATCGAATATTAAGGTCAATTGCTCAAATACTGGACGGTAATCATACACAAATACATCGACGGCAAATATCACGTGTACACCTCCATACAACCGTGTACGTATGTACTGTACATATTTACAAGTTTTTGCACCTCATCTGACCCCACAAACAAACTATGTCTGAGAAGCAGCCTGACAATACCAGCTCAAACTTTCAAGCCCTCCAAAACTGCGCCCTCCCGCTTCGTTCAGAGCAGAGGGAGCAGCTTGCGCCTCAAACTCTTGGACCCTCTCAACGGCATTCTCTCCTTCCACCATTTCCATGGCGACAGGTCCGAAGGATTCGAGAACCAGGGACGCGTGCCCGTTGGAAACCAGGTCGCGTGCCAGATCGTACACGGGCAATCGCTGATCCCCCTGCAAAGACGCAGCCGGCTTTAATGCTAAGTTCCGGAAAAGTATTGAAATTGCACCTGAGCAGCTAAGGAGGCTGGCCGCTGAAGAAGAGTGTCATTTAGCGGCTCCATTTCCGCGTCGGCACGCCGTGGTTGACCCGGCTTCCCTGGAAGGAACCGAAAAACACGAAGAGCATCCGTGTGTCCGCAGAAAAAGAAGACGTGCTAGACAACCCAATTTCAGGGAGCACAGTTCACTGAACAGTTACTTGCCGTACGTGCCAATCGAAGGATCTCGTACCTGAAGAGGCGTTGTGGCGGCCTGGGGCATCACGGCGGGCTGGTGCAGAGTTTGTGTCGCGCCGCTCTGCACGTCTGGGGCAGGAACTTGAAAGTAGTTCTCGATCCAAGTGCCTTCGTCCAGTGGCGCGTACCAGCCGGCCTGCACAAAGGCGCCCCATTCGCACTGTCGTCAGATACACAGAGCGTTGTCTGGAATCAAAAAGCAAGCTCGATTTCCGCGTTCGTTGGGCGACGTAGTACCAACTTGGTTGAGCAACGTCCAGACTTCTTTCGTCACTGCTTCAGGGGGCAAGAACTTCAACAGGCTCTCCTACAGGACGTTCGTACTCGACAAGCACGACGGCTTCCACTCTCGGCGGAAAATGGAGACAGATAGTCTGCGAAACGGGTCACTGAAATCTGATAAGTCTGCCGACTAATATCAGCGAAGGCCTTGATTAAATCAGTAGGTGAGTATGTTAGTAACGTCGAATCTATATACGGTATCAAAGACGTGCACAGACAATACATTTTCATCTATGCCGCAGCGTAGGTAAAGAAGCATAACATCAAGTATGGCGTTCGCGCTCACCTCCTCCAAATTGCCAACACCCGCCTCCGTAGGCAGCGCGGCGTTGACTTGACCAAAGACGTCATCAGGCGCCTGGGCGGTGTCGTCAGCGGCGCCCAGAAGATGCTTGAGGCAGGCGCGCGCGAGCGCGCGCACACTAATGGCGCAGTAGCGTTTGGTCGGGTCGGCGAACGATTTGTCGAGCCGCGCCAGGAAGGCACGGCACAGCGCAGGCTCCTTTTTTGCACGGCTGAGGAAGTAGTCGATCGCGGCAAGGAGCCCGCTCTGGCCGAGCATCTGGCATCGGGTAACGCCAAAGGTTCCGAGCCACGAGAACTGCAGCGCAGCAAACGAGATGATCAAAAGTATGATAAGATTGATGTTGACACATGATGAGAAGATGACGATCAGATGATCAGATGATATGACAGTCAGATTTGAGTGATGCAAAAGGATGAAATAACGCCCAAGAGCACTGCCAAGATCGGAGAGACGTGGATGAGTCAGTAAGCAGAACGAACTTCAGACAAATCTAGTCGGCCTGGTTTTCAACGGATTATTGACCTTGCTTATGGGACCTTAGTAGTGGGAATTTAAGCAGCATGTGTTCAGGGGTTCAATAAGGAGGCCCGTCTGCAACATATGAGAAGGGCAGCTAGTGATTTCATTAGTTCCTTTTGGAAGAAGTGAGTCCCCAATCTCTTAAGTGGAGCATACCGTCTGGATTGTTGGTTTGCACAGCACAAAGGTCCAGAATCACGGCGACCACAAGGTCAACGTGCCATGCAGAATTCGCCAAGGCGGCCACTTCGAGTTTCGCTTTCACCAGTGTACTACCTTTCACTCCAGTCCTATGCTGCGCGCCAAGGGATGAGCAACTTGAGGATTCTTGAGGAGTGGGGAAGCTTGATCTGCCAAAACCCCACTTGTCAAGCTCAAAGTAGTTGGCATGTGCGAGGTCACACTGCAAAACAAGTTGGATTCAAACGGCTTACTAAAAATCCCCGGCTTTGAAAACCAGACATTCTCTCTTTTCTGGATCGGCGCAGGACTGATCCCCCCCCTGTACTTGCCATGTGCTAAAAGCTGTACTGTTGAGAGCAAGTCCCAATCTCCCATCTCCAAAAACCTCTCAAGCACGTATGGCCATTTCCCACACGCCCAGATCTTACCTTTTCATCCAGAGACTCTGTCTCTCTCAGGAAGTCCTTCAGGGCCCGGTACAAGGCAGCCACAAGACTCTCCAATGAGAGCGTATCGACATCCTTGAAGATGGCCTCAGCAGCCAGGAGCTTACCGCTGGCAGGATCGACAATCGCGGCCCCAAATCTGCATTGGAAAAAATAAGAGCTGAGCTGGTGACTTGGGCAAGCTTGCTTTTGCAGCTCAGGTGGACCTTTTGTGGCCCTGGTTAATGAAAGGCTGAACCAAAGGCAGCTTGAAAAACCCTTCATGTAAACTATTATGTTAGCTCCAGAGGCCATCGGCAGACGATGCGCCAAGGTTGCCCCTCTTCTATCGAGGACTGCCAAACTTTAGCTCAGGATACATTGAGCTCCCCCCCCCTCCCCCTCCCGGTCCAGTGGTTGGCTCTTTTCTCTTCGTTCCCTCCCCACATACATGCAGTGCCTAAATGTTAAACTCCCAGCTGGATCCACCCCCTGACCTGATGGGGGGTTCTCCAAGATGACGTACCCTAAGTCTCATCGCCTAACAGACACTGCCAGGTCAATGAAAGGGGGGCTCATTGAAACACACTGGTCACTGAACTTGCTAGCTGAAAGAAGTGCTTCTGGAGAAAAAACAGCTAGTGGTCTGCTTCTCCCGTAGCCTGCTTCTAATGAACCAGGCACAAATGCCTGCAGGGACTTCAAGTTGGCTTGGGGGAATCAGACACAGAAGGAGAAACATATAGTCCAGCGCAAAGGACTCAGCTAGAACGTTGCACCCCTCAATCATGCCGCTCAATCAACCACCAGGCTCGAGAAGTTCCAAGAGATCGAGAAAGTTGAGGGGCCAGGTGCAATCAAAGAGAATGTATTCAAAATTGAGATTTTTGTGACTTCAACTCACCCGCCGTTCACCACGTCCCTCAGAATGTCGTCCACCACGCTGTAAAGGTACTGACGCAGCATTGTGTTCCGCCAGTTACGGCTATGATCACTGCTGGTGCAACTCACCCCCTCCACCTTCAATGACGCCCCTAACTTCTCCGCTGGTGGAAGCAGCTTCTCCAGCTGCTGTCGTAGGAAGAGCGGTGGTTCAGAGCTACCCATTGTGGTGGCGCGGACTCCAACTGCGCAATGTTGTGGTTGCTGTGACACTAGTACTGGATATACTGGAAGCTGCGGGAGCTGAATTCGGCTTTTGCCGCTTCTCTTCAAGCAGCGTAATTGCCGGAGTTGCCCGATCGAGGTTGACGGCGCTGACCGCCTTGCTCCAGTCTACACGACAGTCGTCCGAACATCAAGGATGTCACTTCCAAGTGCCGCAGGAAGCTCTGACAGGTTTTTATCGGACGGCGCAGGTGCGTTCGAGGCGTTTGTCGGTGTACTAGTAACGCGACCTGGCTCATCTTGTCCGTCCATTGAAGATCTCTGTGCACATGCCATGTGTCGCCAATTACAATGTGTCATTACCGGGCGTACTCGAGATGATATTAAGGTGTCAAATAAATTTGGACGGTCATAGTTCCCTGTTGTGAAACTGAGGGATCCCTCAGCTTTCGAATTCGAATTTTGAAGCTTGGATTCCCCTTGGATTGTCAGATGCGTGTGCTAGAAGACCCACTAACCCACTGTAAGTCCCTTCGCTTCCCAGGGAATTCTATGCTTTCTCTGCTGAACTTAAGGTTTCAAAGATCAGTGTGTTTGTTGCACCTTGCACCTCCATTTAAGTCTGAGTTGATATAGAAGGAGACAGAGTAAACTCAGACTCTGTCTGACTGAGACTTTCGACAACAAGGATCGCCTCTTGGCCCGCAATCCGTCTATATCTGAGAAGGGCTCTCAACACTGTTCTACCCGCATTTTGGGTTAGGTCATCAGTTTCAGAAGTTTCTCAATGTCAACTTTCCATCATGCACCTTCAACATGCACAAAAGAGAGCAATGTGAGCACTAACTTAGTGCTTGCCTACAGAACCCCACAAGTGCAACACTGACTAAGTTTGGGATGGGGTTGCAGGTGGCGATCCCAGCCCCTAGAGGTCTGGCCCGCATACTATGATATCAGTGGGGTCACCTACGCGAGGGGTCACCTATGAGGTAACCTAATGATGGGGCGGGCGATAGAGCTGCCTGGCATATGGGGTTAGAGGTGACTTAAGTTCTACCACTTCAACTGGATCGATCATTGATCCTTGAGTTATGAAACTTTCCCTGAACACGTTGCCAGCAGTTGCTAGAGCAGCAACCAAAGTTAACGTGAGCTCACATGGCGGCGGGCGGCCACTGATAGGCCGGATGCACGATTATTCACATGCCAACCATTGATGATGAATACTGAAGGGGAGCCCATGGCAACGATCCGTCACTGTCACCAACTCAATCGATCTGAGTACGTTGAACGGCATTGAACGGCGGCCGGCCCAGGTCCATGAATTTCATTGCCGGCCATTCTATTGGCGGCAGATCTTCGCAATCATGAATATTCCAATTGCACATTTGATCGATCCTTTCAACGAAGTACTAATCATTAGTGCCGCATATGCCCTTGCCATTTTGCTTGAGATGCCGCCTAATCACAATATTAAAATTAACTACAAAAGAATGTTGTTCAGATTGGTCCAGCCTGAGGTGGCTATTAGTCTAATCAACACTTATGGCCATCGAAGTTTAAAAAAATGAAAAAAGTCACCGAGTCATAGTAATCAAAGTATTGGTGGTTTGATCAAAATTGCGGGGTTGATGGGCTCAACATCTCACCGACCCTCCCTTATCTCGGTTCTCTCTCTCGGGCTGGACCGCCGCTCACATGAATCTTCCGCAATATTTACATACCGTACCACTCACCGTCAGCTCATTGTCGACGACCTACAAAGAATAAAGCGTGCTGCAGCAGTATCAATTACCTACTACGCGTATGCAGATTTATTGCTATACATAAAGCCACTCCCGAAAGCGCTAACGCCCCACACAGGGCTATATCCGTGGCATCAAGCTTCTTCCACCAGGAAGACACATCCGGGTACTGCAGCCGCCTGACTTGTGCGGCTACCGACACAAAAAGCGAAGAGCCGTCGCTGGTCCCCGGGTTTGACTTTAATGCCGGTGCGCTGTTGGATTGCTGTCCGTCCACAGGTTTTGGGCCGCAGCAGCCGGTTTTATTTGACGCTTTGTCGAGTTTCGCCGGGTCGTGCGGAGCGCAGACGCCTTCCTTCACGAGTTCCTCGATCTCCTGCAGGTGGAACCGCAGAATATTCTCTCGTGGCATCCCAGGTCTGAATCTGTTCTGAGTATGGATACCAAGATCATGTCCAACTCGCATACTCCAAGCGGGCGATGTGGCTTCTATTGTACTGAAACCCGTACAAAGCCAACCCTTTGCTGTAGGTTCAGGACCTGTTAGATCTGGCCATGACCGTGCCTCTCTTCAGGTCAAATTTGGGTGCCGATTGACATTTTGCCCTGCAACGGATGAGTTGGGCAGCACACACGAAGCGCTACTCGGAGAAGTCCTCAACGGCCAGGCGTTAACCACTTTCACACATTCGCAGAAATCTGAACGCTCAAGCCAAACTTCGCCACCATGTCCATACCGACCGGAGCCAATGTCTCTCGTCTCGCTTAAGCGGCACCTGCTTCCGCCTGCTTTGTACCTATTTTCCCTCAGCGGCCCTTTCAAAAGCGTAGCCGCTCTTCGGCACACGAGTGCCAGAAGTGACCAGCTCAGCGGACGGCACTTTCATGCAACTCAAAAGTTTCTCCGAAGTGCGTTACCAAATTGCCTCCGCATCCTGCTCTGGTGTCGCCCGAAAGGTACTCACGCGATACTGTGTTGGAACATTCCAAACCCTGGCATGCAGGCCAACTCGTCGCTGCAGAACCCCCAACCCCACTTCAAGGATGTGATCAGCGCAGGGACTCCCTCTAGCAGATCCGCAGACAACCCCAAATCTCAGCAGACCCGCGCTGAACCTTGAAAACCAAATGCCTAGTCGCCTTCAGATCTCCAAACTTGCAATCCTGCCATGGCGCCTCGTCGCGCTCTGGACCCTCTGCACCCCCAAACGGTCCACTTGGTCTATTAACGCAACAAAAGCTTACTCCGCGCCCCTGATGGCACATCAACGGAATCCACCAAACGGGTATTCTGTTACAGAAGGAGTAGGCTCCTTCCACAGCGGTCAAAGAAGCACCGACCTCTCAGGAACAAGCACCGTGTAGCGCACCATAAAAGCAACTAGCTGCGCACCTCGACTTTCAAGAACGTGCAGTCGTCGCACGGCGCTGCCTCGGGCTCTGGTCCCTCTGCGTCCTGAACGGCTCTTATTCTCCGTAGCTCCGCTTGCTGCTCCTCTGCCGTGAGGCCCATCGCGCCGCGCCACAGCTTGTCGACGATCCGTCCGCCCTCGATGTGCTGTTCGACGATCAGCGGAACGTCACGAGGTGTGACGTAACCATACCTGCAGGATATGCGTCCAGACCTGTCTGAAATGGAAACTCAAAGGGTTTGATAGGGAAGATTTACGAAGCAGGACCTTTGATATGGTGAGAGGATGAACAGATAATTTTGTCCAAACACGTGTCCGCCCTGAATATTTTGCATTTTGATTAGAACGTTACAGGTACCTGCAGGGTGACCCCCTGAATGAAGACTGTACATCAAAACTTAGAGGCGACTTAAAAAACCGGAGTCCGACTGCAAGCTCGCTGCATGCATATGATATTCTAGCGCAGCATGCCACATTATACAAAACCCAACCGAAGTTCCACTGAATTCATCTCACAACTGGACTGACCGAAATGATTCATGAATCATCAACACGCAATTGTGTCGCAAGAGACTGAAAGACAAGAAGAAAACAAAGAGCGCAATCTCACCAGTCCCCAGCAATCTTCCCCTCCCGCTCCATGTAGATAATCACGTTGCCCGCAAAAGCATGCCCCCCGACGTGCGAACACGCGCGCACGTGGACCGTTTTCTCCAGGCCCTTCGCCTGGACCACGGCTTGAAACGCCAGCACGAGGGGGGGTCCGCAGGATCCGCAGCGCGCGTCCCTGCTGGCGTGGGCGCATACGAACACGTGGCAGCCCGTGATTCGCTGCGAGCGCAGCACCTTCTCCTTGCCGGTGAGGAGGAACTCGATCAGGTGGTCGATGTCGAAGTGAGTCACCGCACTGAGGAGGGAGCAGATTAGAAAGTATGCAGTCTGCGCTAAAAGAGCGTGGTCGATCGGTTTTGGGAAAGTTGTTTGGCGCATAGTGGACATCAGAGGGCCATGTTATTGTCGAGGTAGTTGTATTCGGATTGCTTTTTCCGGAAAGGGAGTGTAGACACATGTTCATGAAAACCTGTGTGGATTCATAAGGGACCGAGTTTCTGAGTGCATCCTATTGAGAAGTATGTTGTCAGGGATTGATGATACTCGCAAGTAGGAGTATCGAAGCAGACTGAAAGGCATAAGCTATGCTAATTCATTTCTGGTCAAAGCGGAGACTTGTTGGCACCGCCAATCAGATTGAATCAGGACAGAGTGTAGTCCAAATTACCATATCTCAGACCGTAGGAATGCTTGGAGGCAAAAATTCATACTCATCTGGCAACCGTCAGGCATCCTAACAACTTTTGATCAACTCTGCTGGCCTGTTGCATTCTAGCTTCATTTGAGAAACGGCTTCTTAAGGCGGAACTGGGTCCGTAGCTTAAGCGTTGGTAGCATTACATCCGGCTTGCAGAGCATCTGTCTTTCGGTCGTTTTTCGGATCGAGGTACCCGGGCTTTCGCTCAGAAGCCATATTGTTTCTTTCGAGTCTACCGGAATGCTCAGAAAGCTTATTCTATATGAAGTTGAAGACCGTTCTCCAATAAAGCTTCAGGGCGATTGTGTGAAATCTGCCATCGCTTACCTGTATCGCTTCATGTCAGGAAAGATGAGGACGTCACACTCGCTTCCTTCGCTTCCCTCGCAGAGTGCGAACTTGGTCTGCATACAAGGGAAGTGTGCACTGACGTCAGCACTTTCGTTTCCTTCTAGACCTAGCCAGGTTCTGTAACCGGACAAAGAGTTTGTTGGAACAAGCATAGAAGGTGAAAAGAAGAGTCTCAACGTCTTGAGATCACCATGCAACGGTTGTGCGTCCTGTCAATCACCACCCGACTTTGCTTGTGATCGACCAAGCAACAAGAAACCCGACAAAGGGGTTGAGGAACAAGCGCGAGGAGTTCAAAAAGAATCTCAACAGATCTACAGTGCAACAATTGCCGTCCTGTCAAGTACCAACTGATACACTCAAGATCGAAGCAGAAAGAGAAGCGCAACCGAGGATGCAGAGAACGCAGGAAGTTAAACGGCTCGATGCTGCACGTAACGACGTTGAACATTCTGCCACCAGTAAGGAGCTGAGAGGCAGCGAAACTCGAGGGTAGCTGAACCAAAATGTTCTCATGCCTCTATATCTCGAGTCGCAGTCCTTCGTCTAACAAAGTTGATCTTTTTCGTGGAACAGATTTTCAGGGACGGCAACAACAACATGTGCATCACCACAGAATTCACAAATCAACATGCAAAGCGAGACAAAAATGTAAGTAACGCTAAGGAATGCTGACCTTCTGCGGAAGCACCTTTCTCTTCATGTAGATTGCAGACGCGAGCCTCTTCGGCAGGCGCTCCGCCTCAGCGGCCTCTATCCGGGGGGGCCATGAGGCAGGGTCCTGCAGCAAACTCCTCGGTATCAGTCCCGTCAATCACGCAAGCCGTTGCACATGACTGGGTTAGAGTTGAGGTTAGAAGCGAGGTTAGCAGTGACCATCCCTCACCTCTTCTGAAGATTCTTAAAAAACGAGGATCAAGTTGCCTTCTCTCAATTAGGTCCTCACTTATAATTAAACAGTACATTTGCTTGCAACGCTTGAAGGAAAGCATTTGCTCCAGACTTTGTGCCTTTCGACTTTTAACATTTCCTCTTGAGGGCGAGACTCTCTTCCTTACAAAGCATAAAGATGAGCAGAATTAAACTGCAGCCTAATCTGTCAATACCAAGCCGCAAGCTGCTTTTTGGGGAGTGTAAGCAGCAAAAAACATCAGAAAAATGGGGGCCATTAAGAAGCAAAGCAAGCGAGGCCTATGAGCGGCTTGATATGTCAGCGGACTCCATGAGCAGCTACTTTCTAGCACTAAATAGCAGGTCTATCTCTGAACTTCTTGTTAGAAGCTAGTCAAGAGAAGGGCGGGAGCGGGGGAATCAGCCAAGCAGAACAAGAAGCAATCTTGCTGAGAGCATTCGGCTATAGACAGCTGCAGAATCAGTGCATTCCCTTCCCTTCGTAGACAATGAATATGAATATACGGACTACAATCGTGCTCATGACCAGCATTGCCCCCACTCAAACATCGAGTTAGGCGTAGACTGACACATTTTCCTTTGAGACAAAAAACACAAGCCAATTCCAGTGAGTAACTTCCTCTACCTGGAATCGCTGTTCAAGTTGTCACCAGCATCACGTTGAGAAATACACAAGAAGTTCCAGGACCTCACACAAGAACACTGATTGAGCCCTTCGGCAAGGGCATTTCAAACATACTCCCAAGCAATCTCATCAGGCAGAAAAAGCTGGCACTATGATCTCGTTGAGAAAGTACGCCATAAGATGTGAAATGAGCAGAATCCCGTCGCGGTGTCGCTTCACAGACAGAGAGCAAGAAACCAACTTTCCAGCCTTCTGACTAGCTGAGCGGCTTGTAGTGCTTCAAAACCAGGCTGATTTGCTGAGTAATTCTCAGCTTTCGCATTTGCTGATTGCAAGCTGGTCTTGAATTCAGAGGAGAACCAGCAGTACACAAGCTTTTTGAAGTGCAGGAATCGAGCAAGTGCTTCAGCCGGAAACTTACGGTCAGCAAAAAATGTTTGGTTGCAGAAATCAAGCAATTGCACTAGATGGAGCCAAATAATGCTCAGCAAGAACCTACCTTGTAGCACAGGAACACCATGCGCTCGTGCAGCTTCACACTCCCCACAAGCGGCCTTGATCCAACCTCTGGCCGCCAGAAGTCGATCTCTGGGCCGGAAAGTGGCATTCCTGGAGCTCCAAGAGAAGACGTCCTCACCAAATGGCCACGCAGGGGAGAAGTGGTCGAAGAATCCATGCCAGGGTTTAGGCCGGGGTTTAGGGCAGGGTTTAGCAAGGACTTGCGCCTATGCATTGTGGCATCTACCTGGCTCTGTGTGAAGTTGGGGGGCAGCAGGAGGGAATCGAGCGAACCCTTGCGCTTGTGCCTCGGGGGGCGTGCTTGATCAGGAGTGAGCGATCTCCGCAGCTTGGAGGAAGATTTGATGGCAGATATAGGTGACTTCTCCGAGAGCACCGCCCGTGCGGGAATTGCCGGGGGAGAGCCTGTGTTCTTGGCATTCTTGGACAGAATGCCTGGCTGATGAAGCGCGCCATCGCCCTTCTCTTGTCGCAACACCGATCCCTTTGCAGCAGAAACCACTGAAGCTTCCTCAATTAAATCTATCCCCGAGGTGGAAGGCCCCTCCTCCTCAGGCACAGCAGACTGGTGGCTCCTGCGGATCAGGACATCTGGGGAAAGCTGCCGCAGGTCCTTAAACTCGCTCTGCGAGGTGTCGGAACCATCTGAGGGGCCAGCAGAGCTTGTGACAAATGCCTGGATGGGAGAGAGAGCGTTTGGATTGTTACTCTGCTGCGGATCAGAGTGGGCGCCCGACTTTGTCCAGGCGTGCTCGCCAGGCTCTTCCATTTTGCTCGCGCTTCACAGGTGGTGATTATTTGCCCCCATTTGCACGTCAGAGTCCACAGGAAAGGCGATCGCACCCGTCGACCACAGGTAGACGCGATTCCGCTTTATGGATCAAGAACCCGAAGTCTACACAAGCGACCACCCCTCCATCAAGGGCACCATTCTTCCTCCTTTCTTCCTGAGCCTGAGAAGAGAATGCAGCTGAATGCCGCCGGCGCCAGCCTGGCCCACCCGCCGCTCCATCTAAGTTTTGAATCCCACGAGGCCTCACCCGACGTGACGTGCATGATTGCGCTAGGCTAGATCAGGTCGCTCTAGTTATAAACCCTTGGTAAAGGGCACCGCGGCCACGACGGTGGGCCGCCCGCCGCTGGCCGGCGGCCATAAACACTGCCATCATTGCGGGGGCCGGCCGCGCGGGGCCCGTCTAGAGTCTAGCTCTCTCGTCTTGTCGAGGTCTTGTCCGGTCGTCTGCTTGTCCGCGACTGATCGTGCCAGTGAGAGGCATCATAGGGGAATCGACTATATGCGAAATGGATCATGCACCTTTTTTGAAGCATGCAAGCGGGATCCGCACGGGACCGATCGATAGATCGAGTGGACCGCCCATGGAACGGCCCCGGCGCTAAAATGCTTTTGAACCCTGAGATCGATCCTGAGAGAAGCTGCCTCACTGTAACAATGACGACTTGCATATTGGGGTAAGGTCGCCATCGTCGCCAGGATATATGCTCGATACGGGGAGTGCCAGGTTGTTCAATGCGATATGGTACGCACCGTCCATCACGATACGTTCGTCTCGAGCAATGAACGTACATCATACATGTGACTTTCGTGGGTATACTGGCGACAAGTTAAACTGCAATTGAAAGCTAGCAATAAGCAGTTGACACACAGTTGGCAGCCGGGACTCAGTGGGTGATACGTAGACGCAAAGCCGAGAACTCTCATGAGTGTTCTGGGCTTCGCATGCAATTGCAAAGCTCAGGAGACTTGATCCTTTCAGCGGCATGCCCGCGGCATGCACGCGTGCCAGCCGGAGCTATAGCCCAATAAAAAAACTTCGTGACAGCAATGCATTGAAACACAATCATTAGCCAAATTTATAAGTTCACAGCGAAGTATAAGCCACGAAGGCACAAAATGATTGCGCTGAGTTTGATGCGACCATGGAACATACATGCCTTGATGTTCTCTTGTACATGGCGCCGTAGCCACATGGGCCACGGGCTTATGATTCAGTTCACATTCTCAACACCAGTTCTAGCAAGCGGATCGAGGACTTCGACGAGCGTGATTCAGTTACACTTGATCGAGAGCGGGGCGGATACGAAGCGCCCAGAAACGTAGCTAGCTGGGCATGTTCAATGCATCAGGGCGACAATCAACTTGTCGATCATGAGACCGGATGTGAACTCGTTTGAACGAGTTGTCGAGTCTTGTTGTTTATCACGCCACAGGAGAAAACTTGTAATCTGGTAACCGTGGAATTATTATTCCCTTTCCGTCCGGTCTCTACCCGTACGAAGCTAGCCCGAAGCACCAAAGAATGTTCTCGTTACTGCTTGACAAGTGCCCCAGCCTATCCTGACGTTCTTTGTCTGGACGGGCAGGCTTAGCTGCTCGGCTTCGTATATTTCCGCCTAGCTTAAAGGAACCGACTGACGACGTGTGATTTAACGCCGAAAACTGTTGGGCCAATCCTACTGGCGGCCCTACTGTCGTTCGTAGCATCTGATGCAGTCTGCAAGTTGCGCACAATGGGCGCACAATCTGAGCTGACGTTCCGCGACTGCGGGACGAGAGACTGACTATAACTTACGGCAAAAGCAATGCCACTACTGGTTTAAGTGCCGACGATTGGCGACTTGTTTTGCCCCCCGTCCAATTTTCGAGCTGTACTGCTAACGGTAAATGAAAGCAGTTCTGTTCTTCGAAGCCGCCAAAGTAGAACGCGGTGCGAGCCCCTAGTACTGTACTCCTGTACGAATGGCAAATTGCGCGAGCAATCATGACGCCTTCTAAAGCAACTACAAAAACGGGGCCCGTAGAAAATATCTTCAACTTCCGCTTGTCAGCCCCTCTTATCCTGCACAGTCTCCACCAAAGGGGCTGTGTTCGACCTACCTATCTCACTCATCTTTTTTGAGTCTCGCGCGGGCCAAAAGATGTCAGTTTCAACCGTTTCGTTGTCCGCGAAATTCTTCCCAGACTCGAGAGCTTTACGCCGCGTGCCACTTGAGACTGATCAGATCCCCGGTCTTCCATAACCTGAAATCGGGCATCGGGTACCCGTCCTGAGTGATAACCTGCCCATCTTCCATCGTAACCACCAGCCTAACCCCACCCCGACCGGACAGGTCAGTCCCCGGGGTCCACCACGCGCCCCACCCGTCCACTTTTGACCCAGGGTGTTCCACCGGGGAACCGTTTCCAGAGTTCCCGCCGTTGTTGTCGGCAGCCGTAACGAATGTGACGCCAGTGATGACGCCAGCGCCGGGGGCACGTGACACGACGACGGCCTTGGCGTTGCCGTTGTAGGCCTGGTAACGTACAGTGAGGTCGTGGGAGGGGTAGTTGGGTGCGCCCATTGTGGAGCAGTCAACTCTGCAGACGTGGTTCAGACAAGGGATCAGGAAACGCTTCGAGGAACCTTCCCAAAATGCTGAAGTGTTGTGAATTCGTTTGGTGGCGCTGTCTCAGACTTTTCCCGGGCTTCGAGGAAACTGTTCCGCTGGCAGTGACTCGCGGGTCGAGGCATCATTCAAACGGCAAAAGAACAACAAGACACCCAGCTGTGCAGACAGAACGTGGTTCGTGGTTACGATCGGAGACTTGGGCCAAACGGATTAAGAGTAATCCCTTCCAGAATGAAGCGGGTCCTAAGAGGGGGCCCGTGGAAGTGACAAGAAGAACAAACTTCACAATGTAGACAAAGCCAGAAGCTGGAGTACGTGATGGGATCGCTCGAAAGGCTCTGGCGGTAATCCACCTGTCCTTGCCTTCAGAAAAGGCAGAACGGTGTTTCACGGGCACCCGGAAATCAGGTCCTGAGTTGCTTTTCGGATGCTGCTCAAAAACGAAAGAACTCACAGGCCCGAGGCGAGAAAGGCAATCCGTTTATGGGCAATCACAAGGCAATCGGTCTGTGGCAAGTATAAGAAAGTGGCAACCTCGAAAACTCGCTCGCAGGAAATGATAAACCCATAGAGGCTCTCTTGAACTTCTGACTCCTTTGAAAGACCTGCTTTCTTGATCCGTTCGAATACTAAAGTGCGTACTCAAAGAAAAGGATTCTTGAAGCTGACGAAGAAAATCAAAGCACTTACCTGGTCCAAGATCCAGTGAAGATCCCCCCGTGATTCCCATCCGTCCCTGGTACGTATTCTTGGAACTCCTTCAAACAGATGTCGATGTGCGAGCCCTGGGGGGGGCCGGATCCCGACGAGCGGTCCAGGGAGTCAAGGTGGTCGGTGACGTCAGTGATGACGTAACCCTTGCTGACGCCGTTCCCGGAGAGGATGCCGCACGCGCCACAGCCGCCGAGGTAGGCGAAGTTGCCGGACGCGGCGTGGAGGGGGTCTGCAGAGTTTGAATTTTCGGTTAGGTCAGTCTCGGGATGAAATCTTGTTAAAGAGGATCCTGTAGGAAGAACTAGGTGTTACAGAGCAGCCTGTCAGAACCCAGTGAATTTGAAGTTGATTGAAGGTTCAGTAGATCGACCCGAGAGGTGGCAGCCGTGGAGGGGGTCTGCGGAGTTTCGGAGTTTTGGGTCAGTCATTCGGCGAAGGAAATAGTGATCAGAGAGTTCAGACCCAAGAACAAAAGGTAAGGACTTTACGCGGCTCATGAATAGAGGGATGGAGGAAGTTGGAAGTTGCCGGACGCCACGTGCATGGGGCCCGTGGATTAGGGAAGATGGTCAGAAACCTCAACTTTTGCGACTGAAAGTTCAGACTTTTGCATTGAGAATTCCGGTTCTGATATTGTGACTGATAAAGCCAGAGCTGCATGGGCTTCACATTTATCATGGGAAAGCGACCATATGGCTCTGAGCGCTTCGGGTATTGTCTAGTTGGCAAGTGCCGTACAGGCTGTTGGATTTTCTGGAATTACGTAAGGGCCCTGGGTATCAAAGGTGTTCCGACTCCATAAAACGTGAGCAAGTTGCGCAAAGATGGATGAAAAAGCCGCGGAATACAAGGGTTGTGGTCTTGTGATTTGATGCTCCATTTGCTCGATACTGTCATTCAAGGATGGGGTGTGTGGTTTATTTGTCCAATTTATTGGAGCGGCAGGATGGGAGAGGTAACAGGTTGCGCACAAGGTTCTGAGCTGCTAGACAAGAGACGGTTCAAAAGGGCTCACTTTTCTAAGTGACTCAGTTTGCTGTGCTAAGCACTCTCACGGAGGTGATTTTCCCAGTGCAGCCAGATCTTACGAATTAGAGTATGCATTGCGCAATGAGGTTCTGTCCATTACAATTGCGGGCAATGCTGACTAAGGTCATGTCAAGAGGCTGCAGGAAGAAGTTTCAAGGGCAGCTCTTCCAAGGCCGGGTGTAGGTATCAATTCTGCGCTGAAATTCTCTTGGCATGCAAAGAATCTGGAAAGGAAGTTGAGCCCTCTTGAACATGGGAGGCAAACAGGGTTGCATTAACCATAATAGAGATTGCTAGATTTGGATGTTTTACTTATGTGAATAGAGAGGAGGAAAAGGAAGGGTCGGGCCTTACACAGAGAGTTGGCAACGAACTTGCCGCCATTGCCGTCCATAGCAGGCCCCCCGACGTCACTCCCATAGCCACATTGCCCCAAGGCTGTAAAGCACAAGGTTTGCTTGTTAGTCATCAGAGGCCAACCTCTTGTGCTCAACGTTGGTTTGGGTCACTGCTTGGCTTTCTGAATGCTGCATACTAGTAGGGGTTTGTTTTCTTTCGAACTGTCTGTTTTGCACAGGCGAAACTCTGCAAGACTGACGAAAGACAAGGGACGAGGGAAGTGGTCACCAAAGTACTTTCCGAAGTCAACTTAGCCTGAGACTCCGAAACTATCTATTGGACAATCCAGGCAGCTTTCCAAGTCTACCTCCCAAAGACCCAGGTATTTGCCCCCAACTTCTTAGCTCAAACAAGAATATGCAAGAGCTTACGCAGAGACTCCAGAAGGAGGGCAAATGTAAGCTCACTTAGAACAGAACCCGGCCACAAGTACAAGCCCCGGTTAACATACTGAAAGTTGACCGAGTCAAAGGGGCAGCTTCCTCAAGGGCATTTTCGCAAGCTTTGTTACAGCTGCGATGTGACATGGTCCTGTCAACTTGTGTGCTTTTTACAGCTCCACAAATCCAAGAGCAGTCAAAGACCATTCCGGACGACCCAACCTTGATAAAAGCGGATATCTGTGATTGAACTCCTAAACTGATTGCAGCACCTTAGACCCTTACAAACAACGCACAGCTCGCGGATCTGCATTGGGGGTGTGATCGACAACCCAGCTCTGAATTATGCTCACACCAACAAGTTAAAAGCCAGATCTGTTGCCAGGGAGCGACCTGTTGGAATTTTCAGGTATGCGAATCATTGTCACCCTCTTTTGATTGTCTGTCAGCTATAGGCAGGCAGCACGCACAGCAAAACTGAACCTGAGCAGACATTGTTCAAGCTCAGCAGCTGGCGTAACTGAGGAACTGAGGGATTGCTCTCACCATCTGCGCAGTCCATCGTCCCTGGGGTGTTGTAGAATGTGACAGACACGGGAGTGCTCTGCCCAAAGCCAAGCGTTGATCTACGATCCTGACCGTCCGTTGGGGGTGTCTCATCCCATAGGGATGCAGTCACACCACCATCGTTGGACTCTTGCAGGAGCTGGCGCGCATTGGCTCCTGCTGTCAAAAGAAGTAAAGTGGCGAGGAACATGCAGCGGGGGATTGCCATGGTGGCAATGTGGGGGAGGGGTAGGGAAGGGACTGATTGGGAAGCTTCTGAATGTGGAGCTTCGACCTGGTTTGCAAATGGAGAATGTGGGATTGGGCGTGGTAGAAGTGGTTGTTGGGAAACGTGAAATGAATATGAAAAGTGGCTTTGAAGTTTGGAGCTCCTTTCCTTTTCGCACCTCTCCAGCAGATTCTCAACCCCACATTCTCACTTCTCATCCAGGAGAACCGGTCAATTTCGCCATTTGAATCAGACCAGAACGGCCAATCTTGATCATCCATTGCAAAACTGATCGGGGCAGCTTGCAAATGCTAAAGCAAAGTGTGTGATAACGGCAGCATTGTACGGAATCTTGCAGCTGAACTTCTATTAGCAAATTGTGCTGCCGAGGCTCTGTCAACCACCCTAGCGCGGTCAAGAGATCTGGCGGCAATACGCGCTCCTCGGATATGAATGATGATTGCCGGAACCCTGAAGTCTGAACGGCCGCCTTCGATTGGCTCCTTCGACCTCGGCTTTCTTCACATGCATCATCATGGAGCCGAGGTCGCTGAAGTGGCGCCAGGAGATTGAGCGCCCAGACACGACAAAAAGGTGAATTTTGGAATGCAGCGCATCCGCAAGTCATCTGCACAGATTCACCTTTCAAGCAACTTTATCATCATGGTCCGTGTTGTCTACAGTGTCTACGTTTTCTCACAGCTGGTACATACATACGGTGCAGAGCAAGACAAAACGAGAAGAGAAAGCAGATCATTGACAGTGCTCATCATGCGCTTTTATAACTGAATATAAGGTTCAGTTACCCAGCAGAATCTTCAAAGCGCAGAGAGGCCCCGCGGGCCCGACACTTGTCGCAGTTGCACCGGCGGGCGAAGGACGTCATGACACTGTGACACAGCTGGGAGGAATCTGTGAGTCAATATTTGAGGTTTTGGTGTAAGTGACAGCCCGGTATAGAGTCACCGCCATCGATTTTCAGCGACAATAGGTGGTTATCCCATGCCAATCAGTCGCTGAGAACAATGCCAGGAACAACTGACCGAGAACGGCCTGCCGCCTGATCCGGAAAGGCTTAGCCGCTGACACTTGGCACTTAAGGTCAGCGAATGACGCAATGCTTTTGTCGTATCTTCTTCTTGGTTAGGTTTTAGGTTAAAGGCTAATCATCGCTTTGCAATTTTGACCAATCTAGGGCTGGCGAGTAATCTCGAATGTATCAAAGCAAGGTACCCTAGCCCAGCTTCTTTTTAAGATCGATCGACGTTCGCGCTCTTCTACAGACCTAAAAAGGGTTATCGGACGGTTTGCGTCTTACATGGAGTTTGAAAAAGCCCAAAAGTGCCTATCTCGACCTCACAGGTTGCCACCTGGCTGCTTATCGATCGCTGTCTTCACATTCAAAATGGAGCATTGCGGTGAGCAGCTGTTCAATGTTTCAAAAGCCGAGGAGAGCCTTGTCACAAGGTTGTCAACAGGAAGCTGAAAGGAACGACGTCTTCAGCAGCATTGTGGTTCACAATCCTTTCCAACCCTTTTCCGAGTTCCGGTTGTGATGCTTCTCTTTATTTCTCACCTTTTCTGTAAGAGCTTTACATGTCGTCACTGCAGACTTGCTCAAGTGATGCGGTTCTTCAGCTGAGTTGAATCCTTGGCATCACAAATGAGCAGCTGCTGAGAGAACAATGAGCAGACTGGGGAAGGGGGAAGATCTGCGGCGTGATGCCAAAGAGACGTTTCGAGAAATGGGAGCGCGCGGAAAGGGCACCCGCGGCAGGAGGTTGGGAATCCAGATATTGTTTGTATGCGCGGTGGTGCTCTGCAGTGGCGCGAGCTACTATGCCACAAGCGTGCGGTTGCACAGGTCATCGCAGGTAGGAGTTGTGAAATCAATAACTCTCATGATAATGTTTTTCAGTCTGGGATTTGGGGGTCATTTGAGGGCCAATATTCTGAGCCTGATGTAGCTTTCGTTGTTGCCTGAAGCTCGTCGAAACTGAAATCTATGTGCAGACTTTGCTTTCTTCTGCATAGAAAACTGGCAAGCAGACTCCTGAATCAGAAAGTTGCTCTGCTTCCTTTCTGGTCCCATAATAATGAGGGTTTACGATTTTTAGAGTATGTATGTGCTGCCCGATCCTGTCCATGCTACTCGTGCATTTTATGAATGCTAAAAAGGACCCAAAGTCAGCAAAGCCACCTATTTTACTGTAGAGCGTACACTGATACAGTGTGACACACAGTCAATGAATGAAACCTCAATGACCCTTAACCCAGCATTACAGAAGAGCTGCAACCTGGTGGCATAGCCATGCAGTCCTTTTTCCTACAACGTCTGTTTGTCCTGCTCTTAGACGCTGATTTGAACAATTGAGCGTCCTTTGCCGACCCTGCTTTTTCTAACGGGCAAAGCAGTCAGAATGTATTCAAATGACGATCAATGCCAAGTGTCTAAGAACAACCTCCTTTTGCCAGGTGCACAGCAGAAATCAAGGGACGTCTCATCCGGACCGATTCCAAATAGGCAATGAGCTCTCAGTAAGCCTGAAAACCCCCGGCCAAGACAGTGCAAAATTCTTATCAAAGGATGGTGTTGAATACCCCATCAAGTCCTTCCGGGGCTCATTCACACTGCCCTGGGATGACTGGCCCCCCCAGCAAGTGCACAGCCTCTTCTTTGCACATAAGGAGCTGCCCCGAACTGAAGAGTTCGATAGAGAAGAGCTAGGGATTCTGAGAGAACTAGAGAGGGCAGCAATCGAAGCCGAAGGCGAGCGAAGAACGGGGGAAGGTTTCAAGGAAGCAGAAGAGGGGAACGATGCCACTGGAGGCTTGAAAGCGGAAGGAGGAGACATAGGAGGGGCTAACTTGGAGCACAATTTAGAAGGTCGAGCGCAAGTACAAGGCGTAGCAAGTCAAAGTGAAAGCAGAGTAGGCGCGCAAAGCGATTCAGGAGATGAACAGGGGTTCGATAGCACCGCAGCGTTAGATACAGCAGACGAAACCGCAGATTTGCATTCAAGGCATGCTAGCGTGGACAAACTAAGTAGAGACGGCACGCGATTGACAGACGGTGTTCAGTTGAGAGGGGAAAGGAATGGGGAGCAGGTCGAAGGAGCAGCTGGAAGGGTCGGGTTGGATGATGAGCGAGGAGACAAGGATCGCCAGTTGCGGGTTGAGCGGGTGAGCTATTACAATACTCTTGTTGCAGTTTTGTTTATTCTCTCCGTTCTTGATTGGTGATTCAGTTTGCTGTTCGAAGTTCGCAAAGCACGGTGCATTTTGACTCCGTAAAAAGCTGGAGGTGGCCTGTGATCAGCCGGGTAATCAACCCAGATATTTCCAGAATTGGGCGGACTTTTATGCGTTGTGATTATTGAAACGGGGGTGGAAGTCTGGACGCAAAGAGATGCCTACTTCCTGTTGAGGAAGAATCAGTATGTGCAATGAAAAGTGGCATCGAGATTGTGGCAGAAAATATTGTGTCGCTTTGCAACCGCCGCTGACCGTGTAAACAGTCCGTGGTCCTGTCAAACCATGTGGCTTACAGATGTTCGAGGGGAACTTTCAAAGCGGTTTTTAAATGAAACTGGGTCTCAATGTGGCCATACTTTCTCAGCTTTCTGTCTACTGGAAAGACCAATCAACGTACTCTAAGCGGACCTTGATAAAGCTCTCTCAATACAAGCTGTGCGCAATCCGCGTCTTGGGAGTTTTGAGCGAGGGCACTCTTAATCCATCGAGCTAAGCATTCGGTTCCGCCATCGTTTCAAACAGGAACAGGACAAAACCCAAACTGTTAAGGAGGTTTCCTTTCGTGTCGTACAGGGTGTCTTCGAGAGTCCGCCCGATCTGTATGACGCAATCTCTGACGAGGGCTACCACCAGTGCGTCGAGCGGGACCCGAGCTGGGCAGGTGACGTGGCAATTCCTAATCTCGTTCCTCTCTTTTCTTCCTTGTGGAAAATGTTTTACTAAGATTGTCAAGCGTCATGCTGCATGTTTAAAGCGGGTTTCGCCATTTTGCCGGCTCCCGCAATAAAACTACCGTGCGCCAATCTTTGATCAGACTCAACAAAGCGTCCTCCGGCTGAATTCTGAGAATCGTAGTTCTCCGTGTTGTTCAGTCATCTACTTCGAATAGAAACCTGCAGGCGCGATCCTTTTGCAATGTGGAAGAGCGCCTGTTGATTCGTCGGGGCTCTTTGTGACGGCAGCCTTCTTTTCCTGAGATTCAAAAAGGAGATGTATGGCCGGTGACGAGTTGCTCGAGTCTCTTACGTTCAAAGTGGAAAAGACAGCCGAGTCTGTCGGAGTTGCCGATGAGATTGACAAGAACTGTTCTCTGTCGTTCCCTGCTAACGAACTTCGAACGCTCACAATAGAAATGGCCCCTCTTGACAGCATAGTTTCTCAGATAGTTCATCCATACATTGTGTGGAGGGCGATCAGGTGTCTGACGGGTCCAAGGTGCGGACCTACTCTAAATATCGTCTTGATCATTTCGTTTGCAGCACCCCCGGCAGTAGAGGCTCGAGGCTACTTGTTTCCAGCTCTAGACGGGGGCCTGAGCCAGCAAATCTTCGAGGTGAAATCCACTTTCCGTATTTAGAATCTAGAGGATCCAGTCCCTGAAGTCTCTGTTGTGTGACACGTCGATTAGGATCCGGTCCCTGAGTTCCTTTCTGTTTGCTTCTCACGTAACTTGCGGTTTTTGAATCAGACTTGCTGGACATCATCTGTCCAGATAGCATCTCGGTGCCGCATGCATCATGCGAATACGATACTTAGACAAGTCTTGCGTATATGAGGGAGGTTTGTCGTCTTCACTTGCTTAGGAAAGCCAACCTGACGTTCCCTGCTTTACGATGCCAAACCTGACGCGAATCTTCACGTCATTTCTCAGAAATTCACATGCGAATCTTGATATCTGACTTTATACCGGTTTGTGTTACTCATGGCTAGCAGATACAGTCTGTGCACACTCCCATACTCCTGCTGAGTGTAGCTACTTCTGTCGTAGCCGGATCCACCGTGACGTCATCTCTTGTTTTCTGACGTCACCCGCCCTCCCCCCCACAGATCGCAAACACAGTTGTCATTGCACGCATCCTGAACGTGACGTTGGTCGTTCCCGAGATGCGGGCCGATGCTTTTTGGAAAGATGGAAGGTGCGTAAGGGATGCGCTTTTTCCTGCTTTGGTTGGAACCCTTTCAGTGCTTCCCGCTCGCTCAACAGATCAACAAGACGTCTTCTTAAAGTAAAAGAAGGCGTCTTCTCCTTGGCTAGATACTATGTCACGCCGCTTTGGAAGCTTCCTTTGTGCGCAATGAAGTACTTGCAAGATTTGGAAGTCTCTCGCCTCCTATGGACCTCCCGAAAAACAGAATCGTGGAAAGTGACTGCTTCAGAGCGCATTCGCACGCCCATACGAACCGCCCTGTCCGGCCCTCGAGGATCGGAAGGTCTCTTTGGAAAATTCGCCGGCAGCTGCGGTAGAGGAACCTCCGTCGACGGATGGCCGGAGGGATCGGGTCAAACGGCTTAGCGGTTTCGATGTTTAGGAACACCGTTGTGTCGCATCCCCTGGCTCGTCGGACGCTCTGCACCGCTTCAGGATCCGTCCGGATCCCAGAAGCGCACTTTCTTCGCTTTCTTCCGCTAGCTTCTTTCTCTGCAGCGACTTGGGAGTTTTGCAGGTCGAAGATGGACTCCGATAATATCCGAGCAGTCACCCTGAAGGAGCTTTCCCGCGCCGCTGTAAAACAAAAGAAGTTTTCAAATGTCGCACTCCCTTTGCTTGTCGCCAACCGGCATAGTTGTTTTGCAGCGACTTCGATTCCATGTTTGCCTGCAAAATCTCAAGTTATTTCTTTCGGACGACGTCCGAGTCGTCTCCATAACAGACCCTCCAGCCCTTTCTGAGAACATGTGAAACTCCCTCCAGATAAATGTCAACCAATACTCTCTTTTTGCAGCGACTTCGAGTCCATCTTTGACCTGCAAAAGTTCAAGTCAGTTCTTTCCAACGCTCTCCGAGCCGTGACCCTGAAGGAGCTTTTCCGCACCGCTGCAGATTGAATCCATTTTGAAGTACCGCATTCACTTTGCTCGTCTTCAACCGTTGTACTCTCTTTGCAGCGACTTTGAGTCCATCTTCGACCTTCAAAACTTCAAGTCAGTGCTCTCTAATGACATTCGCGTCGTCACCATGAACGAGCTTCCCGCTTCGATGCGGGAATCCGACAACTGGATCTACGTGGACCGAGTACAGGACGGTCTGCCGGCGGATTACGTCAGCGTGCTTGGGGACTCGTTCCAACCCGGGAATGTAAGTAGTTTTTGTTCTTATTATCCATTCTGTTATATGTAGGAATTAGCATCATCAATTCGATATTTCTAGGGAATGTAAGTAGACTTATTTTCTTCACAATACGCCCTGTAATTTGAGGCGATAACATCAATCTTTGTATATTCCTATTCTCAATTCAAGTACTTGTCTAGTCTGGTTATCCTTATGTTTGGGACCGAAGTCCTTCAGAAGGCCGGGGTTAACTAGAGCCGCCAAAATCGTCCAGACTGTACTTGGGACGATGCATGCGGGCTATGCTCAATCACGTCATTGAAACCCCACTAAGAGGTTTCTAAGTTGAGAACGCCAGCGCCGGGAGAAGAATTGAAAAGAAGTAGAGCGAGATCAAAGCGCACCTTCTCCGCAGGTGACGTCTGTACAGCGTGTGGTCTTAGCCACCGATTGAGTCCTCTGTGGAACTCTGTGTTAAATAAGGCAGCGCAGCAGGAAAATAAAACTGAGACGACCTAGAGCGAGACAAACGCGCAAGGTCGTGCCGGTGACCTTTCTGTATAGCCCACAGGCTACTCTTAATCGTGTCATCAGCGTAGCTTTTTCAAGGAAATCCAATTGCGCCAAGAAATAAGCGGTGCGCTTCTCTCCAACCACTGTACCGGTAATAACAGGTTGAGAATAATTAGAGCGGGACAAAGCGCACATCTCGTGCAGGTGACCTTTCTGTACAGCACGTGGGCTGCTCTTAACCACGTGATCGACCCCCCCAAAAAGAAACTTCGCTGTCGCGCCAATACCAGGCACTGCGCTTCTCATCGACTTTGCAGTCCCGCTCTGTTGCAGAACAGCTAAGGAAAACTGGAGCGAGACCAAGACCCATTTCCGTGCAGGTGACGTTTTTGTACAGCATGTGGGCTGCTCTTAACCACGTGATCGACCCCCCCCTCGAGAAACTCCGCTGTTGCGCCAAGTACCAGGCACTGCGCTTCTCTCCGACCGTTGTAAATATCTCCAACGCGCTCCAAGCGAGGATGCGGAAAAGGGCAGGGGGGCCGTTTCTGGCGATACACCTACGGTTCGAGGTCGACATGGTCATGCACCAAGTGAGTGAACGGGACTGGGGGCAGAGGTGTTCTGAAGCTTTGGTGTCAAGAGCGTTACTGCATCTGCTTTGCAACAGGATTTTTGGGGTAGCTATGAAAGCGGTTTTGCAGGTGTTTTTGGCGATACACCTGAGGTTCGAGGTCGACATGGTCGTGCACCAAGTGGATGGGCGAGGCTGGAGTCCGGGCTGGTTTGCAGGATTGGTGTCAAGTGCGCTTCTGACTTTGCTTCACGTGCTTTTTCATGGCGTCTTACAGCGCATGTCGGAAGTTGGTATCTTTTTTACCGCTTCGATGTTTGGCCGACATGGTCGTGCACCGAGTCAGTGAACGGAACTGGGGAAGAAGTCCTCTAAATCTGGTGTCAAGTGCGTCATTCACCGGTTGCAATTTTGGGCAGATGCGTCTTCGCTTTCCGGTGTCCATATGGCTATGCGACAGACCTTTCGTGACGCCTGTAAAAGCGACTTTTCTACGAGTGGGCCGTTCTTATAGTGGTGCAATCACGCTTTCACGCGTCACGTGACGCAGTCTCTCCCTCATTACGCTCTGCAGGCGGGTTGCGACTCTGGCATCAATCATTCGGAGGAAGAAGCGTCCTGGGCCAAGGAGCGAAAGCAACGCTTTCCACACACACGTATTCCCAGTAGCACACCGCCACACCAGTGACTACTCCAGCAGCGCGTCCGCCGAATCCTAGCACAAACTGCTGACGTCAGCTTTTTCTGTAATTTGCATGCAGGCGGGTTGCGACCATGGCATCAATGATCCGGGAACAAGCGTTCTGGATGGAGGAGTGGAAGGAATCCCTCTGACGCTTCTCGCCCGCATTTGGCTTGCGTGTGGCGAACCTCCAAAACTACTGAACCGCAAATACGAACCGTTCACTCTCTTGTGAGCTCATTATAATCACATATTGACGTCATCTCCGTGTCCCCTTTACAGGCGGGTTGCGACTATGGCATCGACGATCCGGAGGAAGAAGCGTTCTGGGTAGAGGAGCGGAAGCGTCGCGACTGGCCGGAAGCACGCCCCGACGAGCTGATGAGACGGAATGGGTACTGCCCCCCGACGCCGGAGGAAATCGGAAAGTGGCTCCAGGGGCTGGGGTTCAACCGGTCAACACAGGTAAGACAAAAAATCCACAATTTAGAAGGGGGGGGGCTTCTTGGTGCAGGTTTCAGATGCAGATTTGAGAAGGGCTGACCGGCCCCCCATATTGGAGGAGATCGGGAAGTGGCTGCAAGGTCTGGAGTTCAACCGGTCGACCCAGGTGAGTTGGGAAGGGAAGTGCTTTGAAAGGGGGGAAGGTTCTGTGCAAGAAACAGTCTCTGAACTTTTCTAGTAGTAAGAAATTGGGTCCTTCCCGCCAACGCCGGAGGAGATCGGGAAGTGGCTGCAATGTCTGGGGTTCAACCAGTCGACGCAGGTGTGAGAGAATTGAAGTCTTGGCCTTTGGATGCGGAAGGTCCTGAGGCAAGGAACAGTCTTTGAAACTTTTTAGTAGAGAAGAACGGCTACTGTTCACCCAAGCCAGAGGAGAAAAGCTGATTGGGAAAAAGCTGATGAATCAAATAGGAACCACCTTTCGTAAGCAGTCCGGACGTTCCTTGCCGCAGCGCCGCCTGCTCTCGTTCAAAGCGTCAAGTTCTGGCAGACATCTCTTTCTTAGATATCAGGACTCCACCTTAAGGACTCCACCTTATCAAGGCATTGGTTGTTCTGAGGAGTTCCTTTTCCCCTAGAGGGAACCAGCTCTGGAGATTTGCGAGTCAATTTGGAACTCAAACGAACCACCGCTTACTTAAAGGAACCTGTGACCCTGACCAACCCGTTGCTGCGTTCAGGTGTATCTTGCTTCCAGAAAGGCGAGGCGACTCTCGAGCGAACCTCAGGACCAGTTTACGCTAACAAATACTTAAACCTAATCAACATGTCGCTGCACGCAGGTGTATCTTGCTTCCGGGAAGGCGTACCATGAGGACGTATTCTTGCCGCCCTTTCTCGACATGTTTCCGAACACGTTCAAAAAGGTGAGCTTTGCTTCCTAATAGTCCTTGACTCTCTTTTGACTCCCTCTGATTGGCTTCTGCGGTAGCGTTTTCGCAGCTTCTGCAAAAGCGAGCGATGCTTCTTTCCGCCGCAAGTGCGCGCCGTAAGCAGACTTTCCAGCACCTTGGAGTCTGTCATTGTTCCTGGGTACGGGCATGAGCAAACCGCAGGCCGTGAATGACTCGGTTCTTAAACCAGGACACATAACCGAACGTTCTGAAAGAGTTGTGTTTATTTGCTTCGAAACAACCTAGTTAGAAACGAGTTTGCTGTGTCAAGGAAGAGTGACTCCTGCAGGGGCAAGTAAGAGTGAAACGACAGTCCATTCAGGAAGAAGGTGAAGCCTCGGCTCCTCTAAGCCACTTCTATTTGTATGCTCTGCAGGAGGACCTTTTAACCGAGGACGAGAAAATCCGGGTCAAGGGCAAAAACAACCTGCTGGCGGCGATTGACTTCGGCGTGCTCGCGGAAGCTGACGTCGTGGCGCTGACGTTCCACGGCGTCATGAAACTCTCAATACAAGGTTGGTGGCGTGTTTGTAAATCATGTCGTGATCTGACTTCGCCGATTGAGAACAACGGATCCATTTCAGTTTCTAGGCCCTTCACACTCGTTTTTAGTTGCTAAACAACCGGCATCATGCGACTGCCAGTCCGTACACTGGACAGCCGTCCAGTTTCTAACGAACCCAGGACGTCCACTTTAAAGGTCAAACCCCGATTGTGACTGCCGACGCAGCCCTTAGTAGTGTGAAGTTATCTGCTCCGCTTGATTGCCGCTCTGAGTGCTTCCTAATGGCGCTTGCTCCTGGCATAGTGTTACTGGGGCATGCGTGGCCGGGTAACCGTGCTGATACTCTCCTTTGCGGAGCTTGGCAAACAACCACCTATGCTACGTTATTTGCAGGGCATCGGAGTTGGAATGGGTTCCACAAAACTTTGCTGTATCCAAATTGGGAAAGTTGGAACTTCCGCGAGTTAGACTGGGAGACGTACAGAAAGCGTGTTGCCGAGACAACTCCGGTGGGGCGTCCAAGCCTTCGAACGGACGAGGCAATTGTGGAGGTTATGGGAAACCCAATACCTGAATGCATGTGCCGGACGCAAGAGTCACAATAAACAATGATACGGAGCAGCCTACGTATGGTGTCGACCACTATGTCTTGCATCTTCGATTCGCTGTATTCCTGAATCGTAAGCTTGTGCTCCACTTGGGGTGCCCTGATCAAGCCTATGGACATTAAAGGCAGCTAAAGATCTGACGTACACGTTAGTATCCCGATCGAGTTGAATCGATCCCTCGGTCAATGTCGTGCCGCTAGGCGTCGCTGCCATGCAGCCTCGTACGACCGTAGCAATGCAAGCAAAACGGATTCTCTAAAGAACGCAACGACTGTATGTCACTAAGAGACTGACATGTAATTTTGTCTGATACCATGACGAAGAGGCCACCGTCTCTCCGGAACTCTATGTTATGGCGCTGATGGAAACAAGTAACAAGGT